GTCTATTGTAAAATGAAGTTTATTAAATATGTTAAAAACTGTATGTTCAACATTGTGACATTGTGTTTCCTCCTTTTCCTCCTTTTTTCTCCAAATTATAAAATGTCCCTTTTTCTTGTTAAATTAATGTATCACAGTCAAGTCTATTGTAAAATGAAGTTTATTAAATATGTTAAAAACTGTATGTTCAACATTGTGACATTGTGTTTCCTCCTTTTCCTCCTTTTTTCTCCAAATTATAAAATGTCCCTTTTTCTTGTTAAATTAATGTATCACAGTCAAGTCTATTGTAAAATGAAGTTTATTAAATATGTTAAAAACTGTATGTTCAACATTGTGACATTGTGTTTCCTCCTTTTCCTCCTTTTTTCTCCAAATTATAAAATGTCCCTTTTTCTTGTTAAATTAATGTATCACAGTCAAGTCTATTGTAAAATGAAGTTTATTAAATATGTTAAAAACTGTATGTTCAACATTGTGACATTGTGTTTCCTCCTTTTCCTCCTTTTTTCTCCAAATTATAAAATGTCCCTTTTTCTTGTTAAATTAATGTATCACAGTCAAGTCTATTGGTTTATTAAATATGTAAAAGTTTATGTTAAATATGTTAAACTTTTTAAAACTGTATGTTCAACATTGTGACATTGTGTTTCCTCCTTTTCCTCCTTTTTTCTCCAAATTATAAAATGTCCCTTTTTCTTGTTAAATTAATGTATCACAGTCAAGTCTATTGTAAAATGAAGTTTATTAAATATGTTAAAACTGTATGTTCAACATTGTGACATTGTGTTTCCTCCTTTTCCTCCTTTTTCTCCAAATTATAAAATGTCCCTTTTTCTTGTTAAATTAATGTATCACAGTCAAGTCTATTGTAAAATGAAGTTTATTAAATATGTTAAAAACTGTATGTTCAACATTGTGACATTGTGTTTCCTCCTTTTCCTCCTTTTTTCTCCAAATTATAAAATGTCCCTTTTTCTTGTTAAATTAATGTATCACAGTCAAGTCTATTGTAAAATGAAGTTTATTAAATATGTTAAAAACTGTATGTTCAACATTGTGACATTGTGTTTCCTCCTTTTCCTCCTTTTTCTCCAAATTATAAAATGTCCCTTTTTCTTGTTAAATTAATGTATCACAGTCAAGTCTATTGTAAAATGAAGTTTATTAAATATGTTAAAAACTGTATGTTCAACATTGTGACATTGTGTTTCCTCCTTTTCCTCCTTTTTTCTCCAAATTATAAAATGTCCCTTTTTCTTGTTAAATTAATGTATCACAGTCAAGTCTATTGTAAAATGAAGTTTATTAAATATGTTAAAAACTGTATGTTCAACATTGTGACATTGTGTTTCCTCCTTTTCCTCCTTTTTCTCCAAATTATAAAATGTCCCTTTTTCTTGTTAAATTAATGTATCACAGTCAAGTCTATTGTAAAATGAAGTTTATTAAATATGTTAAAAACTGTATGTTCAACATTGTGACATTGTGTTTCCTCCTTTTCCTCCTTTTTCTCCAAATTATAAAATGTCCCTTTTTCTTGTTAAATTAATGTATCACAGTCAAGTCTATTGTAAAATGAAGTTTATTAAATATGTTAAAAACTGTATGTTCAACATTGTGACATTGTGTTTCCTCCTTTTCCTCCTTTTTTCTCCAAATTATAAAATGTCCCTTTTTCTTGTTAAATTAATGTATCACAGTCAAGTCTATTGTAAAATGAAGTTTATTAAATAATATTAATTGTGTTTATTAATTGTGAGATTGTGTTCCCCCTTTTTGGAAATGAGAAATGCTTTCCCCATCTGACACAGTATTGGCAAAAGCGCGGCGGGGGCAGCGTCCTCTCCCCTTTTTTTTCTTGTTAAAAATCAAATTATAATATGTCCCTTTTTCTTGTTAAATGAATGTATAAGGGGTAGGGGGTAGGGGTAGATTCCCCTATCGGTGGAAGATTACTTCTGTAATGCCTATTAAAAAAGGTGGCTGTAGGCCTGTTGTTACCAACTATCGACCTATAGTTAAAATTTACAACTTCGCTAAGATACTGGAGCGGATAGCTAATAAAGAATTGACATTTTTGGCTCGTAATTTTATATCCCCTAACCAGTATGGTTTCTTGCCTAAGAGGTCCACTACAACTAATTTAGCGGTCTTCTCTAAGCACTGCTTCGAAGCTTTTGAAGCTTCACGTTGATGCCTTTTACACAGATTTCTCAAAAGCCTTCTGGCCAATTTATATAAATAAGGTATTAATTCCTGCTTATTAAGTTAGTTCGAGTCTTATCTGGCTGACCGTTTCCACGTTTCTGAAGTCTATTCATCAAGTCCTATCTCAAGTCCATTTGTTACCTTCTCTGATATTCCATAAGGCAGCTCTCTAGGACCTCTCCTATTTATTATTTGCATTAATGACATCTCTTCATGCTTTCGTCATTCCTACTTCTTAATGTAGGCGGATGACCCTAAAATCTTTAAAGCCATTAGTTGCATTAGTGACAGTTATTTGTTAGAGGAGGATATATCCAGAGCTTACTCATGGTGCTCCCGTAATCTTTTTCCATTAAATTTATCAAAGTATCTGTTTACCCGTTACAGTAAGCGGTCTCTTGAAATATGTACGGGTTATTCCATCAATAATTATAGTTTGGCAGCTAAAGGGGAGATGTTAGATCTTGGTGTCTTATTCTACACCAAATTTAAATTTTCTGGTCTCTAGACTATATTCTGCCTAAAGAGTATGCTATGCTGGGCTTTGTGAAGAGGCACGTTAACCAATTCCAAAGTCCACACTCGAGCCTCAGCGTCTACGATGCATTTATTCGGTCGAGGCTGGAATATGCCTCAATCATTTGGAATCCGGCTTGTATAGTTCGTTCCAACAGAATTGAGCGACACCAGAAGAAATTCTTAAACTTTGCTCTTCTGCCTTTAAGGTTTCAGGATCCTTTACCTTTATACCGGAGCCGCTGCCTTCTTCTCAATGTTTGCACTTTGGGGGATCGGCGTATACGGGTAGCTTTAATTTTTTGAACAATGTAGTCGCTGATAACATTGATTGCGCTTTTTTACTGGAACTCATTAATTTTAATGTTCCTCAAAGGGATCTTCGTACATTTGCCCCCTTTCGGATCAAGAGTCACAGGGCCAATTACCTTTTAAACGAGCCGATTGAGCGGGCTCTTTCTTATTTTAACTCTTTGCCGCCTAACCTCCGAATTCAGTTAATCAGGCAGTTAATCAGGCAGTTATTAAGTTTTTATTAGTATTTTACTATTATTTATTAGTTTTTAAGTTGTTATTTTGTAGCCATGTAAGGATTTTTCCCTTTTTCGAAATAAATAAATAAATATAAATGTAGTACCAGTTTATTAATAAAAGTCAGATAAGATTGATGTTAATAGTTCAATGAATGTGGTATGATTGTTAAAATTAGTGTAAATATGGGCACTGATGACTGGCACTAAGACCTATGATATGTAAAACACGTCACGGTTAAATACAAAACAACCACTAATCAGGCAGTTATTAAGTTAGTATTGTACTATTTTTTATTAGTTTGTAAGTTGTTATTTTGTAGCCATGTAAGGATTTATCCGTTGGCGAAATAAATAAATAAATATAAATGTAGTACCAGTTTACTAATAAAAGTCAGATAAGATTGATGTTAATAATTCAATGAATGTGGTATGATATGATGTATTAATGTACCATAGATATGGACACTGATGACTGGCACTAAGACCTATGATATGTAAAACACGTCACGGTTAAGTACAAAAAATGCACTAAAATACATACAACTACGCGCCTTTTATACAAATTTTGGCTGGAATTGCCCCTACTCAAGGCATTATCGCAAACACCTAAAGAACAAACAAAGGATACCCCAAGCAAACAAAATGGGACCGCTGCTCCGAGACGAGAGTCTGCTAGAAATCTGGATGATTCCGTTGCGCCCTCCTTGCCGGATGCATAAGTCGGCCACTTGGGTACACCGGGCACAAACGGAGGCAAATGTCGCTCCAGTGCTACCGGTGCCAACAATATGGGGACACCAAAGACGGGTGTAGAAGCCCACTATGCATGAAGGCGCCCTACTTCTACATAAAGGAAGCAGCCCCGCTGGATGTTGCGATTGCAACGAGAGCCACATAAGTAATTATAGGTTGTGGCTGACTTACCAAGAAGTGAAGAGAAGATGGGCGGAGAAGGGGTAACACAACTTCAGGGGCAGCGTCGGTCTAGTCGCCCATAGCAACAGGGAAGATAAAATGAATCCATCCATTTGCCAGCGTTGCCATCCATCGCATCTCGAAGCGCAATGTCGTGCTTCTTGGGGCCGGTATCCATCTCGGGGTCTGGATCTACATTGGGGTCATCCTTCTATGAAATGGTCCCGCCCCCTGAAATCTACCCCAAATTCCCACTCCCACTCTGGCCGGCAACAGCAGCCACCAACTGTATTAACCCGCTAAAATTCAAATACAATTACAAATATAAACAAAATAAATGGGAAAAGATCCTTAGGGCGGTGCCGCTTCTATACCCCGCGATGTTGGGATCCATCGATGGAGGGTGCCTTTCCCCCTTTGGGTCCTGCTGATGGCTCCTTAGGGATCCGATGTTGGGATCCATCGTTGGAGGGTGCCTTTCCCCCTTTGGTTCCTGCTGATGGCTCCTTAGGGATCCGATGTTGGGATCCATCGTTGGAGGGTGCCTTTCCCCCTTTGGGTCCTGATGATGGCCCCTTAGGGATCCGATGTTGGGATCCATCGATGGAGGGTGCCTTTCCCCCTTTGGGTCCTATATCCCGCGATGTTGGGATCCATCGTTGAAGGGTGCCTTTCCCCCTTTGGGTCCTGCTGATGGCTCCTTAGGGATCCGATGTTGGGATCCATAGTTGGAGGGTGCCTTTCCCCCTTTGGGTCCTGATGATGGCCCCTTAGGGATCCGATGTTGGGATCCATCGATGGAGGGTGCCTTTCCCCCTTTGGGTCCTATATCCCGCGATGTTGGGATCCATCGTTGAAGGGTGCCTTTCCCCCTTTGGGTCCTGCTGATGGCTCCTTAGGGATCCGATGTTGGGGTCCATCGTTGGAGGGTGCCTTTCCCCCTTTGGGTCCTGCTGATGGCCCCTTAAGGATCCGATGTTGGGATCCATCGTTGGAGGGTGCCTTTCCCCCTTTGGGTCCTGATGGTAGCTCCTTAGGGATCCGATGTTGGGATCCATCGTTGGAGGGTGCCTTTGCCCCTTTGGGTCCTGCTGATGGCTCCTTAGAATACTCCGTCGTTTCTCCTTGCATCCTGGGTGGCTCTTGGATGGCCAACTTGCATCCATTTGTTTGGCCACAGCACAACACGACGCGACTTCCAACAAAATAGAAGTTCCTAGAAAATGACAATATTAATATAAAATAATCCAATAAAAATAAACACACCACGTACCTCATCCAACCCCGTTACTCCTGTTGAGATCCTGATCCATCGATGACGGCTCCTTGCCCTTGCTGGCCTGCTAGTGGGGCAATACAGCAGCCCTGCTGCAGCCACCGACGCCATGCCTGGGTAGGCAACGATGGCGCCGGCTGTCCCTCGACGATCGCACGGCCCAGCACCAATGGCTGCTGCCATCCAACGACGACGACTCGTCGTCTGGTCAAATGGTCAATTTCCGATTTAAAAATTGTCAATTTCCGATTTTCCCCATTTTGCCATCTTTCGAGACTCATAGTTCCTCCAATATATATCCGATTTTAAAAAGGAACACCATTCTGTGATCAGGACAACCTGCAGCTTAATCGCTCATTTAAAACAGTCCTTAAATGCAGTTTTCAATTTTTTCGAAATTTTTCCAAGGGGTCCCCCTTAAAAATGGTCAATTTCTGATTTTCCCCATTTTGCCATCTTTTGAGACTCATAGTTTCTCCACTATATATCCGATTTTAGGAAGGAACACCATTCTGTGATCAGGACAACCTGCAGCTTAATCGCTCATTAAAACACCCCTAAATGCAGTTTTCAATTTTTTTTGAAATTTTTCCAAGGGGTCCCCCTTAAAAATGGTCAATTTCCGATTTTCCCAATTTTGCCATCTTTCGAGACTCATAGTTCCTCCAATATATATCCGATTTTAAAAAGGAACACCATTCTGTGATCAGGACAACCTGCAGCTTAATCGCTCATTAAAACACCCCTAAATGCAGTTTTCAATTTTTTTTGAAATTTTTCCAAGGGGTCCCCCTTAAAAATGGTCATTTTCCGATTCTCCCCATTTTGCCATCTTTCGAGACTCATAGTTCCTACAATATATCTCCGATTTTAGAAAGGAACACCATTCTGTGATCACGACAACCTGCAGCTTAATCGCTCATTTAAAACAGTCCTTAAATGAAGTTTTCAATTTTTTCGAAATTTTTACAAGGGGTCCCCCTTAAAAATGGTCATTTTCCGATTCTCCCCATTTTGCCAACTTTCGAGACTCGTAGTTCCTCCAATATATATCCGATTTTAGAAAGGAACACCATTCTGTGATCACGACAACCTGCAGCTTAATCGCTCATTTAAAACAGTCCTTAAATGCAGTTTTCAATTTTTTTGAAATTTTTACAAGGGGTCCCCCTTAAAAATGGTCATTTTCCGATTCTCCCCATTTTGCCAACTTTCGAGACTCATAGTTCCTCCAATATATATCCGATTTTAGAAAGGATTACCATTCTGTGATCAGGACAACCTGCAGCTTAATCGCTCATTTAAAACAGTCCTTAAATGCAGTTTTCAATTTTTTCAAAATTTTTACAAGGGGTCCCCCTTAAAAATGGTCATTTTCCGATTCTCCCCATTTTGCCATCTTTCGAGACTCATAGTTCCTCCAATATATCTCCGATTTTAGAAAGGAACACCATTCTGTGATCACGACAACCTGCAGCTTAATCGCTCATTTAAAACAGTCCTTAAATGAAGTTTTCAATTTTTTCGAAATTTTTACAAGGGGTCCCCCTTAAAAATGGTCATTTTCCGATTCTCCCCATTTTGCCAACTTTCGAGACTCGTAGTTCCTCCAATATATATCCGATTTTAGAAAGGAACACCATTCTGTGATCAGGACAACCTGCAGCTTAATCGCTCATTTAAAACAGTCCTTAAATGCAGTTTTCAATTTTTTCGAAATTTTTACAAGGGGTCCCCCTTAAAAATGGTCATTTTTCGATTTTCCCCATTTTGCCATCTTTCGAGACTCATAGTTCCTCCAATATATATCCGATTTTAGAAAGGAACACCATTCTGTGATCAGGACAACCTGCAGCTTAATCGCTCATTTAAAACAGTCCTTAAATGCAGTTTTCAATTTTTTCGAAATTTTTACAAGGGGTCCCCCTTAAAAATGGTCATTTTCCGATTCTCCCCATTTTGCCAACTTTCGAGACTCGTAGTTCCTCCAATATATATCCGATTTTAGAAAGGAACACCATTCTGTGATCAGGACAACCTGCAGCTTAATCGCTCATTTAAAACAGTCCTTAAATGCAGTTTTCAATTTTTTCCAAATTTTTACAAGGGGTCCCCCTTAAAAATGGTCATTTTCCGATTCTCCCCATTTTGCCATCTTTCGAGGCACGTAGTTCCTCAAATATATATCCGAATTTGGAAAGGATTACCATTCTGTGATCAGGACAACCTGCAGCTTAATCGCTCATTTAAAACAGTCCTTAAATGCAGTTTTCAATTTTTTCGAAATTTTTACAAGGGGTCCCCCTTCAAAATGGTCATTTTCCGATTCTCCCCATTTTGCCATCTTTCGAGACACGTAGTTCCTCCAATATATATCCGATTTTAGAAAGGAACACCATTCTGTGATCAGGACAACCTGCAGCTTAATCGCTCATTTAAAACAGTCCTTAAATGCCAAGGGGTCCCCCTTAAAAATGGTCAATTTCTGATTTTCCCCATTTTTCCATCTTTCGAGACTCATAGTTCCTCCAATATATCTCCGATTTTAGAAAGGAACACCATTCTGTGATCACGACAACCTGCAGCTTAATCGCTCATTTAAAACAGTCCTTAAATGCAGTTTTCAATTTTTTCGAAATTTTTACAAGGGGTCCCCCTTAAAAATGGTCATTTTCCGATTCTCCCCATTTTGCCATCTTTCGGGACTCGTAGTTCCTTCAATATATATCCGATTTTAGAAAGGAACACCATTCTGTGATCAGGACAACCTGCAGCTTAATCGCTCATTTAAAACAGTCCTTAAATGCAGTTTTCAATTTTTTCGAAATTTTTACAAGGGGTCCCCCTTAAAAATGGTCATTTTCCGATTCTCCCCATTTTGCCATCTTTCGGGACTCGTAGTTCCTTCAATATATATCCGATTTTAGAAAGGAACACCATTCTGTGATCAGGACAACCTGCAGCTTAATCGCTCATTTAAAACAGTCCTTAAATGCAGTTTTCAATTTTTTCGAAATTTTTACAAGGGGTCCCCCTTAAAAATGGTCATTTTTCGATTCTCCCCATTTTGCCATCTTTCGAGACTCATAGTTCCTCCAATATATATCCGATTTTAGAAAGGATTACCATTCTGTGATCAGGACAACCTGCAGCTTAATCGCTCATTTAAAACAGTCCTTAAATGCAGTTTTCAATTTTTTCGAAATTTTTACAAGGGGTCCCCCTTAAAAATGGTCATTTTCCGATTCTCCCCATTTTGCCATCTTTCGAGACACGTAGTTCCTCAAATATATATCCGATTTTAGAAAGGATTACCATTCTGTCATCAGGACAACCTGCAGCTTAATCGCTCATTTAAAACAGTCCTTAAATGCAGTTTTCAATTTGTTCGAAATTTTTACAAGGGGTCCCCCTTAAAAATGGTCATTTTCCGATTCTCCCCATTTTGCCATCTTTCGAGACACGTAGTTCCTCCAATATATATCCGATTTTAGAAAGGAACACCATTCTGTGATCAGGACAACCTGCAGCTTAATCGCTTATTTAAAACAGTCCTTAAATGCAGTTTTCAATTTTTTCGAAATTTTTACAAGGGGTCCCCCTTAAAAATGGTCATTTTCCGATTCTCCCCATTTTGCCAACTTTCGAGACTCGTAGTTCCTCCAATATATATCCGATTTTAGAAAGGAACACCATTCTGTGATCAGGACAACCTGCAGCTTAATCGCTCATTTAAAACAGTCCTTAAATGCAGTTTTCAATTTTTTCGAAATTTTTACAAGGGGTCCCCCTTAAAAATGGTCATTTTCCGATTCTCCCCATTTTGCCATCTTTCGAGACACGTAGTTCCTCAAATATATATCCGATTTTAGAAAGGATTACCATTCTGTGATCAGGACAACCTGCAGCTTAATCGCTCATTTAAAACAGTCCTTAAATGCAGTTTTCAATTTTTTCCAAATTTTTACAAGGGGTCCCCCTTAAAAATGGTCATTTTCCGATTCTCCCCATTTTGCCATCTTTCGAGACACGTAGTTCCTCCACTATATATCCGATTTTAGAAAGGAACACCATTCTGTGATCAGGACAACCTGCAGCTTAATCGCTCATTTAAAACAGTCCTTAAATGCAGTTTTCAATTTTTTCGCAATTTTTACAAGGGGTCCCCCTTAAAAATGGTCATTTTCCGATTCTCCCCATTTTGCCATCTTTCGAGACACGTAGTTCCTCAAATATATATCCGATTTTAGAAAGGATTACCATTCTGTCATCAGGACAACCTGCAGCTTCATCGCTCATTTAAAACAGTCCTTAAATGCAGTTTTAAATTTTTTTGAAATTTTTACAAGGGGTCCCCCTTAAAAATGGTCATTTTCCGATTCTCCCCATTTTGCCATCTTTCGAGACACGTAGTTCCTCCAATATATATCCGATTTTAGAAAGGAACACCATTCTGTGACCAGGACAACCTGCAGCTTAATCGCTCATTTAAAACAGTCCTTAAATGCAGCTTTCAATTTCTCGAAATTTTTACAAGGGGTCCCCCTTAAAAATGGTCATTTTCCGATTCTCCCCATTTTGCCAACTTTTGAGACTCGTAGTTCCTCCAATATATATCCGATTTTAGAAAGGAACACCATTCTGTGATCAGGACAACCTGCAGCTTAATCGCTCATTTAAAACAGTCCTTAAATGCAGTTTTCAATTTTTTCGAAATTTTTCAAGGGGTCCCCCTTCAAAATGGTCATTTTCCGATTTTCCCAATTTTGCCATGTTTCGAGACTCATAGTTCCTCCACTATATATCCGATTTTAGGAAGGAACACCATTCTGTGATCAGGACAACCTGCAGCTTAATCGCTCATTTAAAACAGTCCTTAAATGCAGTTTTCAATTTTTTCGCAATTTTTACAAGGGGTCCCCCTTAAAAATGGTCATTTTCCGATTCTCCCCATTTTGCCATCTTTCGAGACACGTAGTTCCTCCACTATATATAGCCGATTTTAGGAAGGAACGAATAAGGATGACGAATAAGTTAGAACCAGGGCCAAGTTAACAGCAGTTGGCACTTAGAACTAACCGGCCTTGTACAAAGCACACTGTGGATTCTTGTTAAAACATTTATTTTATTTATTCATTTTGCTATAAAGTAATCAGATTTTGTTTTTACGTTCTCATATCGTTTTCAACTATTTTACAGGTGATAGACTACATTGCGCTTAGTGAACCTACATGCATTCCTATATATAATTATTTATATATATTCTTTGTTTAATTTAAGTTCTTGTCATCAGAATTTCTTCGGCTTTGGACTTATAAATAATTAAAGACTTGTACAAATGCAGAATCAGAATCGGATCCAGGGAATCAGAATCGGATCCAGGGAGTAAAATCCAGACGAACACGAAGAAGCACAAAAGAACGGAACATACGAGAATTGTTCGAGACATACTATAGAGCTAGAGATACATATATCTGGTTGAGGTTATAGAAATGCTGAACCGAAGGGCACCGGGCACCGTAGGATACCGAGTGGAATGTGGCTAAAGAGATTCATAGATTTACAGATTCAATCTTACAACATGGCGGGGTAACCGACCAACTGGGTTCTTTATCATTATATATAAATACATATATATATCCAACTAAACGCCCGGATAAAGCGGCAACTTGGCGGTGTCCACTTTCTCCTCCACTTTAAAGGATGGGAACAGACCGCCTTGATTGGTGCGCGTGTTCTTTCCTTTGGAATTGCCATCCCAATGATTTCCGGCCACGGACACAAGGTCGCCGACGCGCAGCTGCAGATCCTCGTGCGAACGAGGCTTGTGGGCGATGACGACGCGGCGTTTGTGCGCGTTCTGACCTCCGTAGTAGTATATGTCGTCCAGCGACTTGAACCGGTTTGCCGCATCCGGGTACATCGTTTGCATGATCTCGTAGGCGACGCGGCAAACCTGCGACGAGAAGGTACACACCAAGTGGTCGGATATCGAGAGCAGGTGTATGTCCAGGATGATACCGTTCAGCGCTGTGTCCGTGTAGCGCGTGGAAACAGATGCCATGCGTGCCACCTCCGGATCGCCAATGATCTGGTACTCCGGATACTTCCGTCGCGCCTCCTCAATCACCAAGGCATCGTCCGAGGCGAGAAAGATGCGACGCGTGACGCTCGTTCCGTTCACCTCCAGCGTGCGATAGTAATCCTCCACATGGGTCATATATTCCTCGACGCTGTGGCAAGCCGCCTCAGTGCCCACCTTGTCCGTGCGACGCACATGAACGCTGGAGAAATATAAGTCACAATAGAAACACAATACTTCCTTCTTAAAGGATCTTACTCACCCGACAATGGGACGTTCCCATCCCAAGTTTCGCATCCCGGACGTGAGAAAGTCCCGCGTCGTTGTCTGCGGACGGAGCAGATATTTAAGGAACTGGCCGACCCACCAGACGATTGGGTCGCCGTGTAGGCGCTTTAGACGCGGTGCCAAATCCTCTGGCACGGCGAGCGGCAGGTACGGGGGTCGCGGCATTAGCGAGTCAATAATAGGCAGGACGAGCACCTGAGTGTTCGGCTTGCCGGGCCAGTTGTACGTGTTGGCGGTGCCCGCATCATTACAGCTATTGGAGACCGGCTGGAACACCTCCTCCCAGCCGCCTTTGTGGTAGCGCCAGCCGCGGGACTTCAGAATCAGAGTCCTTTCAGTGGCGTAGGCCACGATGAAGCAGTAAACTACGTGATGCAGTTGACATCCATAGCCACAGCCCTGGATGTAAAGGATTACAGGATTAGTTAAGGTGCAATATGGATAATTAAGGAAGTACTTGGATAAAAAAGAATAGATAAATGAAACAGGATAACTATTCCATTTCTTGCCTTGTTTAGCTTGCAGACCAGCTTGCGGGCATTCTGGCAATCCCTGGGATTCTGCAGATGGTGCAACCGGCGCTGCACCAGGTCGCTGAGCTCTATGGCCTCTCTGTGACGCCAGGTCTCATAGCCATCCGACCGCCGCAAGCGGTCCATGTCGCCTAGCAGCGACCGTTTGTGCTCGGCGCCCTGCAACAGCACCTGGTTGATGGTCTCCTCCAGATCAGAATTACCGTGCCCGGCGGCCACCGCCTTGCGCACCTTGCCCAGCTCGCTGCTAAAAAAGTTCCAGATCTCGCCGATATTCGTCTGGATGCGACGGCGGGTGAACTCGTACTCCAGACTCGGCTCTATCTCGCCATGCTCCCCCACGTCCACAATATCGTTCGGCGCCGCCTCGGCCACGTTGTTCCAGCTCCGCAAATCCGCGGGCGCCGACTCAAACAATGTCTCCGGTTCGGGTCCGATTCCGGCCGCAGAGTTTTTTGTGTTTTGGGCATCATTCTCCAGCCGCTGGACGAGTTTGAGGGCGCTCTGCTTGTCCAGTTGATCGCTAGAAGTGGAGAACACGCACATAACAGTGCGGATTGGGTGAGTAAGCAGCTTATCGTATGTAATCTGTTGGCGTGGCATGAATAATTAACCACGACACTGCACGACAGTTTCAACTCAGTCGCGACTCTCAAATGGCGAGTGCCATTTACATTTTCCATTATTTTTCGCAATTACTAAACACAGTCATTTGCCGGGGTATCCGCCTCTAAGCTTTGATAAAAATTTGTGATAAAATGCATCTAGATTCCAATGAAACTGTGAATTCAATTTCCAAACTGTTGAGTGAAAAGGGAAAACCATAACTCCTAATTAAGCTAATTGATCTTATTTACCCTCACAGAGTTCAATGACCGCTTCAGTTTATTTTTTTAGGCAAAATTTAGAATCAAAATATTTATACCCACGAAACAGATGCATGAACTGCCTTTCATTCCATCTGTTAACATTAAAAGCAACAAATTTAAAAAAGGTAGTTTTTCGCCATATTTTTCCTGTTCTTAGTTCAGTGCTAGTGGATTTTCTAGATATTCCTTGCACCTTGAAAAGAAAGAAAGGAAGCAAAAATACAGAGATACGAGCAAAGTGGCCTAAATGGTCAAGAATCTATGACTTTTTAAGGTTCTTCTTGTTTGTTTCTTCCCTTTAAATCCCGCTATTCCAATCGGAAAACAAGACTATCTCTTGTCATTCCACTGCCAAATCGCCAACCTATCACTTACATACCTCATCAGCTCGTCGATGAGCTGCTTGAGCTCCTCGTTGCGCTGGCGCGTGTGCTCGAGCATTTGCAGCGCCTGGTTGATCCTTTTGGCATTTAGCTCGCTCTCGCCGGCCGCCTGCTGTCCCTGGGTGTTCGTCAGTTTTACCACGAACACGTACACCAGGGCCACCCAGGCAAGGACGAAAAATAAAAGGGCGCGGGCCCATGAATTGGCCGAAGCACCGAACAGCTGCCGTACCAGCAGCATGACTGGATGATGAGAGCGTCCTTGTTAAGTTGCACACTATCCTTGGATTAGTACATGCTAAGGGGAGTCACTGCTGCAGCCACCGCAGGCTGTCCGTTGCATAGTCCCTTAGCTCCAATCCACTGACCAGCCACCAATACGGATCGTTAACATCGTCGTCATTAAGGAGGCAGCACCGGTGTGACGATGGGATGCTTAATGGCAGAGTGTGGACCGCAAAATTTAAAGCTTGCCGATGACTTCAATTAAGAACTTTTTTGCTGCGCCATGGATGAAGAAGGGGTGGATGGGGGAGTGTTGGCTAGACGGTCGGTGTCTGAGGGAGATAGATAGAATCCGGAGACGAGGGTTTAGCCTGATCGGCAGTCGTGGCACTAACAAATTGGTGCGAAATCGCCAGCGCTTTCACATGTTGTTCCTGTGTCCCAGTGTTTTGTTTTAGCCAGTGCTGTCAGGCCTAGTGATGTGACAGGCGTACCGTTACTGCGATAGTACTATTTCTAGCTGTCGATAGCTTTATCGAAAAATACCAACAACTACGCACTCTCAAGAAATATATATTATTAGTTTGCTGAAAAAGCAGAAAATATTATAAAATAATTTGTTGGTCGACATATATAATTTAAATTTCATATGCAAGTAATCAACTCACAGCGATGTTACCTAGCGCTCATCTCTAAATGAGGTGACTGATTATATTGTATCGATTAATCGACTATCGAATATCGATATAATGAGAAAAAACCAACTCCATTTCAAATAAGAATTTGAAAATCTCGCTGCTTTGCATGTAAAAAAAATCAAAATGTATGGCATGTTTTTGTTTGATGACGTGTTCTCTTAATATTTCACATTTTATTTGGACTTATGCTACTAATAATAAAATGATTATAATTTTGAGATGTTTTTCAGTTGTTTTCTGTTTTGTTTTTTTTTTCGTAAAGTCCGAACCGATCGCCGGGTGGCACTGGAGGTCATATAAGGAGGGTGTGTGGCAGGCACCGCCCGCCATCTCCACTCTCCGCTTTCCCCCAGCATGCCACTCGGACGCCAGTTTGGACTCCTTCAGGTGCAACTTAAACGTTTGCTTCCGTTTCTTTGTGGAAATCAAATGAAAAAAGGTGATTATCGTATAAATTATAAAAAATTCAGTATATGTATAGTTTTAAAAAAAAAGTTGTACACATAAAATATAAATTATATTATTACAGTTACGACCACAAAAATTTCTTAGCTTTTGAAATGAGTTTTGTTTTCTGGTTGTTTTTGTTTTACTTTCCGATTGTGTTGTTTTTGTTGTGTGTGAGAGAGAGTTATTTAGAGAGAGAGAGCTGTGGCAGAATGTGCGGGGCTGGGGGCTCCAAGAGGGCGCCCCAAAGAGGGGTTGTCTCGGACTCGGATCACGACGAATGCGTGTTATATGCGACAAGTTTTGATTTATTGTTTTAATTTAAATACTTATGTATATAAATTACTTTTCTGTTTTATTATAATTATTGTTTTTCTGTTTCTTTTGTTTTTTTTTTGTTTTTTTTTTTTGTTTTTGCTTTTATATTACTCTTTTATCTTATTTTTCTTGTATGTAGTGGGCAACTGCGGCATTTGTAAATTTTCTTTTAAATGTTATATTTAAATGTTCCATCTTCTTGACGTTTTTGTGTAAAAATATCGATTCCATCTGATCTGATTTATATACTTTTCTATTCATTTATGTATTTGCTTTTCGTTTCAATTATTATTATTAAGTTAACATGCTGTTGCTGCAATCTGAACTCTCTGGAGACTCGGCTCTGCTGCTCGTGATCGGATATCGGATGCCTGTCTTCTGGTCTGCTTGTCTACTGTCTACCCTGCCTGCTGATCTAAGCTGTCTAGCGGCGGTCGCTCCTTGGCTCACTTCCTCCTATTCCTATTGAAATGTTTGTGGTTCTGCTCCCCCCCCTCCCCTTCCCATTCTACATGATCTGGTCTGTCCTAATCTGAGCTTTGTTTATGTTTCATGTTGCGTGAGTTTTTGTTGTGTTGTTGCGTTAATGAGACTTGTGTGTGTTGCCTTGTGTTGTGTCGAGTGCTGTCGGGTGTGTGTGGGTGTGTTCTCGTTATATGTCGTATATATATATATATAATATATTATATGTAGGTATAATTAGTTGCTTAATAGTAGAATTTCTTGAATGTTGTTGTGGTAAAGTGTAGGTAATGTTGCTCTATGTCTCTATGTCGACTCAACAGCACTACATACATATGTCTTTCCACCAGATACGCGCGGCAGACCGAATAGTATCTGGAATCGAAATGTTCTCCCCCTTTTTCGCTTCCGTATCCGCATCCGTATCCGTATTCGTATCCGTATCCGCCGTTTGTTATCGTATCCGTATCCATTTTCATTTCCACATCCTCGCCCGCCTCATTCGCTGCGCAGTTTCTTCAGCTCCGGCGACTTCTCCCCCACTCCGCTGGCGTTATTCAACTCCAATTCGCAATGCAGAGCCGATCGCTTCTGGCCAATGGCGGGTACGCCATCATCTCCCGCCGGCGCCACTGCCGCTGGCTCCGTCGCCACCACTTTGTTCGTCGCCTGCACCTGCAGCTGCTGGAGCTTACTGCCCCGCACAATGCCGTTGCTGCTGTTGCTCTCCTCAGCCTCTAGCTCTGCCTCGTTCTCGTTCTCATCCTCCTCATCCAATTCATCCTCCTCCTCGTCCTCATCCTCTCCGTCGCCCAGCACTCCATTGCCGTTGCCATTCCCATTGGCGGCAGCTGCTCCCGTTTTGCCGGCAGGCTTTACAGATTCGGCTTCGGCTGCTGCTGCAGCTGCCTCTGATGCCGGCGAGGCCGCCTGGCCGTTGTTGGTGATCTGCTTGTTGTTGTTGTGCGGCTGCTGGCTGTGGGCCTGGCTCGTGGGCTGTGCTGGCTGGTTGAGGCTGATCAGACTGTTGGCTTTTGGCGGCGCCTCCAAATTGCTCTCCGAATCACTGGCCAGCGGGGTTCCGCCACCGCCCAGACCAATACCAATTCCAATACCAATGCCCAGGGACATGGGCTCGCCATCCTCCGTCGATGTGGTGGCCGTTGTCTGTGTGGTGCCGTCGTTGTCGTCGATGATCGGATCCTGGGAGGTGGAATCGTTAGACACAAAGTTGGAGTCGCCGTCCTGCAGGGCGCCCACGGCACCTGCATTGCTGTTGCTGTTGCTGTTGCTGTTGATCTTGGCGTCGCCAGTCAGGGCTGCTGGATTAGTGTTCTCGTTCTCTGTCTCCGACTCTGTAGCAGTGTTGCGTCCACCTGTGGAAAAAAAATGGTCTTAGCAATGGGCTTCAGTGGTCAGTGCTGGGTTCAGTCTAGTTAGCGGCTAGTTAGTTGGCTACGACCTGCTAGAAAGTCTTGAAAGGATTCCAGCCCAACAAACCACAAACCGCCACTAATCTCAGTTGAATCTCAGAGGGAAACACTCACCTGCGCCCAGGCTCTCGTCGTCCAGATCAACGGCCACGCCGTCATTGGTGTCATCGCCGTCAAGCACCTTGCTGCTCTTGCCCAGGCTGCCGTTTGTGCTGAGGGAAGCCGTACCGGCTACAGCATTGACCGAAGCGGCTGCTCCCGGCGCCGGCATATCGTCCAGCATCTCTGGACTGAGGTCATTGGCCACGTAATGCGACCATAGTGCCAGTTCGACGCGATGCGGCGACCAGTGCGGCGTCTCGCCGCCAACCTCGGCATTGAGGCGCTCCACTGTAGACTGGATGTGGTTGACGAAGTTGAGGTACTCCTTGGTGGTGTAATCGATGCCCTCGATCTCCGGTATGGCCATCAGGCATTCGTCGGCCATAAAGGGGGCAGAGTCGGGTGCGGCGGCGGCCAGGAGGGCGGAGGCCATTGTGGTACCGACACCCTTGAGGTTCGATAAAGCTGTAATCGCCTGCTCCAGGTTGGGCAGCTTGCGGAAGGCCTTCTTTGTCTCCTGAACGACGGCGCGCGGTGTGTTCACCTTCACCAGATACGACAGCTGTGGATAGAACTTGCCACGCGACTGCTTCCACTTCATTGTCTGAACCAGCTCATCGTATACCATGTGCGCGTCCTTGCCGCGTGCCTTTATCAGCTTGGGCAGTTCGTTCTGGTACCACTGATCCAAACGGATCAGCTCTTGGGGTTTCTTGGAACGCTTCTCGGCCTTGAGCTTGAGGACCTCGGGGTACATCTGGTAGCAGTATTCGAACTGTGTGGTGGTCCCGTTCTCGAAGAACGAGGCCGACACATTGCCGTTGGACATTGTTGGGCTATGATCCTACCAATTCGTGCCAATCCTGACGAATGATTAGGGGATGATGATGCGGATGATTATGGTGTTGGTGGTGCAGCTTCCCAGGATTCGGATTGTATATCAACCTGGCTCCTGGCTTGTGTCCTTCCGTTGCTGCTCCTGTCAATGTACTGCTATTTCCACCGGCGAAATGTTGCAGAGCCAAGCGTATGAAGAGGAAGAATGCCAGAAAGCCAGAAGAAGCAGATGAAGCGAAAAGAGAGAGGAAGAGGCAGAGACCGAGGCACACAGAGAGAGAGAGAGAGAGAGGACAAAGAGAGAAAAAAAGACATACAATTAGCTTTACAGTTACGATTACATATGCAGGGGGTAAGGGATTTGTATTTAATTCGGTTGCAATTGATTACTGTTAGTAGTGCTTGCCGCTGCCGCATCTAATGCTGCTACTGCTGCTGCTGCTGCATCTTTTGTTATTTTGTTTTTTATTTACTGAAATCCGATAATCGGTAACTCTATTCGCAAAAATTCGTTTCTCGCTTCCTCGCCGCCTCGCACACCGCTCACACAAAACACACAAATCGAATTTTTACAGTGTCGTCGTTGTCGTCGAAGTCGGGTTCTTTTTGGTCCGTCACTAACACACTCTCTCGCACACCCAAAGAGAGGCAAGCGTACACACAAGCACACCGCCAACCCACACACAAGCACATGCACTGAAAGTGAGTGAAACAGAAACACACTCACACAAAGGCAATAGTAGCAGCAGCAGAAAATTTCTTTTTCATACAATTTTGTTGAAAAAATACAAATGCTTTTTTCGTACTTATATTCTTGGCAAGACAGAGAACAGCTTTTCTTCACCCACAACGGCAAAACAGAAAAACAACAACGATTACAAAAAAAAAACTAGGCACACTTACATTGCCAAATATTGCACTCACACCCGCAAACAAACACACGAACACCCGGACACACACGCTAGGCTGGCAGGCCAACTGAAACACATCATTCAGTTCAGTTCAGCGAAAGATTCAGATGGCGATTGGGATCCGACTTCGGCAGAACTGAACATGAAGAGAGTAGAATGTGGCCGGAATCCGGGGGCCCTATAAACAGTATGCGGCGTTTAGCGCTTACCTTTGATGCGATACAATCCGTTGCAAGATGCCTGATGCTTGATTCTTAATGCCCTGATGCGATGAGCTTGCGATTGCCACCGCCAGCCAGCCAGCATGTATTTGGTTTTGATTTTATGTTAGTCGCCGCCAGTCTTCCGTTCCGTCCACATCCAAACAACTACTCCACAGCTTTGCCTTTGCCTTTACCGAGCTGTGAGCTGTTTCGTTCGTTTCTGCTGTTGCCTCTGCTTCGCTTCTCTCTACTGCTGCTGCCACTGCTTTTGCTTTTGCCTCTGCTTCTTCTTTTGCTTTCTGCCTGTGTGCCGTGGATCAGGGGCGTCGCTGCCAACCAGGCCTGAACACACAAAGGGGGTTCAGTTCGATACGGTGTGCCGACAACACACCACAAAAGGATAGCGTGCAGCTGTGGAACAACTGCCTTACTGCGAACTGCGAACTGGTAACAGGAGCTATCGCTATCTCTACCGCTCTCGCTGCCCGATTGTATCTGTATCTCTCTTCTGGCACCCCTCAACGTTTCGCTTGCCGGCGACGTCTGTGTGTGCTACCGCTGCTTGGCTCTTTCAGTCGCGGGTAGTGTTGCCACGTTGTTTACGACCAAAGTGCTAGCTTTGCAATAAGCACCAGCTAGAAATAGAAAAAAACGTATAAATAATAATGCAACTCAAAACCTACTCAGATATTACTAGATGCAGTTATTTTTGTTTTTATAACTTGAAATACTATTTATTAAATAGTTCTATATCTAATTTGATAAAAAAAAAAATAATATACTATTTTTATTTCAATTAATATATTTTACATATAGTTTATTTAGTTACATAGTTTTGTAATTTTTCAACAAAATATCTTAACTTAAATCGTTCTTTAAAGCAGCTAAGCTGGCAACTCTGCCCTCTGGTTGCGATGCAGCAGCGGCGTCGTTGTGCCATTATTCATGAGGGGTTGCGGATGCGTCAGGGCATTTAATTTTTAGTCGCGTTTGTGCAAGCACGAGCTTATTTATGGCCCCCCACGTGTGGCGATAGAATTGCATATTGAGAGGGTTTTGCCAATAAATACCTCAATCAGCTGGTCCCCAACTATTTGCTTCCGTCTTTCCAACTATTTCTAGCACCAAGTTCATTCATTGATTGTTAAATAAGCAACCAAAACCGAAATTCAAAGAAAGCATAAAAAACATTTGAATAACCAGTCGCATTCCTGTTTTAAGAGACTACTTAACAGTCAAGTCAAGTACGATCCCCGTGGCTACGCCCATGACGCGCCACTCGGTTCGGCCTATCGCTCGTTTGCCTTTGGCGTTGTTTCGCCTTACCGCGAGCCATATAGCAGCTGCAATTTAGTTGTTTTCTGCCTTTTCTTGTGCCTGCGATTCGCTCATTTTACCCCGTCGCTGCTTCTACAAACACACACCACTTTAAGTACGTGCGGTGCGATAGATACATCGTATCGATATTTCGATGAGAAGGGCCATCTGTTTGCAATGGCTTTCTACCACTTTCTTTCCCCCACTTGGCCACCGTTTTAAAAACCCGTTTTCGGATTCGAAAACAATTGGGTATTGAAAAATTTGGAAATTCCCCACATGTGCCCCCGTTCGCAGAGCTTTGTTCTCTCACGCTCGGCTGTGGACATTAGTCATTTCGTACACACCCCCCTCCCGAGTTAACTACGACCCTGTTTCTGATTCGCTCGTTTTTGCGTTTTGCCAGTTTCATTTTTCACACTCCAATACACTTAGGCCATGTGTGTGTGTGGGGTTTCTTTCAGTGCTGCCAAATGTCAATTTATGTTGCCCGCTAACCTTTCTTTAGAAAACAAATTATGGAAAGAATAATTACATCCCATCGCCTTTAAAGCGTTAAAATAAAGAAACTTTAAATATTTCTTTGTTTTTTTAAATCTACATCCTTTTTACAAAGATCTTTCGACACAACTTCTTTAGCGCCATCTAGCGATCATAAAATTATACACAAGCTCGGTGATGAGTAATAAAAAAAATATCGATATCTTGAAATACTGTTTAAATACCAGAAAATCTGCCAGCGTTGCCATCTTGTCAAAATAGTTGATAATACTACGACTAATTCAAAGGCCAACTAATTCTTCAGAAAATATTTTCATCAATGTGTCGTTAAGACATTTAAGCAAAATCCATATCGATAAAAAAAATATCACTATCAAACATCGTATATCGATATATTGATATATTTTCTAGAGCCCTAACTCAAAGCCCCCAGCAGCAATCAGCAATACAGCAATATAGGAGCGACAGCTGCGGAGACCGCACACATACACAAGCTTGCAGCGAAAAGCAAAGACTCAATACACGGCCATCGATACACTTTTGTCTAGTTGTTGTTGAAGTGAAAAATCAAAAACTGCGTTTCTTAGCCAATTACTTTATAGCCACAATCATGAAGTTCCAGTACAAGGAGGAGCACGCTTTCGAGAAACGCCGCGCCGAGGGAGACAAGATCCGTCGCAAATATCCCGACCGTGTGCCTGTAAGTACTGGACGAATATGTGGGTGTATGCGTGTGCACCTCTGTATGTATGCGTTTGTTTTGCGTCGTTTGCTTTTTTTTTTGTGTTATACCCCGAAGAAAATCAATACTGCGCATATTGGGGGAAACGCCAGTTATTGTTAATAATTTTACACCTGCTTCATAGATAGGTGGGTGGATGCGTGTGTGGTTGCATAAAACGTGGTGCATTTCACCTAAAAAAAACGTACAGTGGGGGGTCTAAAAAAAAATTCAAATGAATCTGAAGTCCCCCCTTCTAACACACACACACACATACACAGAGACAAAGTGCTTTGTTCTTTTTTTTTTCGTGTACATATATTTTATATATATGTTTGTATGTATAGTCGTTTCACTTGCTCAGCTGTTGCAGGGGGTGGTGGAAGCGGGCAGGAGAGAGATAGAGAGGCCAGCAAGACCACAACCAGTTGTTTTTGATTTTAATTTCATTTTCGGTTTGTTTGCAAAAAACGAACCAGTACTGCGCATAAAAACAAATCACTCACTACCACTGTCATCCGAGGCTTGTTTTTGTTTGCAAATACACACACACACACACACACACAGACTTTGAATTAGTCATAGATGAAGAGCAAAAACAGCAAAATAAATAAAGTATTTGAATAATTAAATATTTCACCACCTTATCAGTAAACTCCTTTCACAGCAGCCCCTGAAGGTGCCCCAACAAGTACATTATGTACGTAATTTGCTCTTTATATGTATATATGAGTGCATATAAGATGCATACATACATACATACATTATTGTTTTTCGCTTTGTTATGGCTTTGTATTTGTTTGTGTTCGAAACAGTCTTATTTTCGTTTGAGTTTTTTTTTCAATTATTTTATTTTTTTTTTTTGGCAAATGTACAAAAATGAGAAAAATCACATAACATACAACAGCTGACCGAGGGGCAAGGCCAGCTGATATATATCCCAATTCTATATAGTACTATACATTATATTAGAATTCACAAAACAAACACCTTGGTTTCGGCCAATGACGCTTGTCGCATGAAAATTATCGGCTTAAAGGTTGATTTTTTTTTTAATTTTTGCTAATTTGGTATTCATTATGCTGTGGCCCCGGTTTCCTGATCCAAACTTGGCCGAAAACCAGTTGGGCCAATTAATTTCCACCAGGATGGATACTCCGAAATAAACAAATACAATCACTAATCACAAGTTGTGATTTCTAGTTCTAAAATGAACAAAAATATTAGTCAGTAATTACGAAATACTGGGATGCAGTTGCTAAATTATAAAGAGTGTACAAAGTATTACTCATTTTAATTACAGCTTGATGAAAATTTCAAGCCAACTGTTATATTAAATTAATTTAACAATAAAAATGTAAATATTAGGCACGAATTTTGAATATAATTGCCACTTGTGTAAAAAAATACACGTAGTGGACTTTAATTAGAAACCGAAAATTGCAAAATATGTTGAAATATTTTTGGCACGTAGTGGAGTTTACATTGTTCGGCTTATAATCCCATTGCAGGTCATTGTTGAGAAGGCACCCAAGGCGCGCATCGGTGACCTGGACAAGAAGAAGTACCTGGTGCCCTCTGACCTCACCGTCGGCCAGTTCTACTTCCTGATTCGCAAGCGCATCCACCTGCGTCCCGAGGATGCACTCTTCTTCTTTGTGAACAACGTCATTCCACCAACATCGGCTACCATGGGCTCCCTCTACCAGGTTGGTTCATAATCTTCAAATATTTTGTATTGTGGTTTATTTAAAAAACTATATCCTTCTGTAGGAACATCACGAGGAGGACTACTTCCTGTACATAGCCTATTCGGATGAGAACGTCTACGGCATGGCCACGATTAACTAACTTGGCTAACAGAAGCAACACACACACACACACACACCCTATACAGAAATCTATATATAAATATAAACTATATTTTATGTTTCGCAAGCAGCTTAAAAAAAACGCGGACGCGAGTTAGCTAAACGAATTGCAAAAAAAATATGATCTGAACTAGGAGACAAAAACAAAAAGAAAAAAACAAGAAAAACCAAACAAAAAACCACAAAACATAAAACGACAAAAAAGAATTGTTATGTGAAGAATTATTTTATATATATACATTTTCTAAACGCGTTAGTATTTTCAACTAAAGTCGGCATTATGCTATCCATTAACCAACTTCTTTCCCTCCCCGACTCCCCTTCCCACGCATCCAAAAGTTTATTTTTATTTTTTTTTTTTAACCGCCGAACTTGAAACCGTGCAATAATAATTCGCACTTTTGTACTTTATTTTTGCTTACTTTGGTTTAACATTAAAAAAAAAGAAAAGTTTTAAAAATGATGAGCTCCTTCCCCCCTATATGATTTTTTTTTTACAATACAACAAAATTTTGTGCATATTTAGTGTGTATGGTTACAAATAGGACTCTCTCGGTTAAGTGTATGGTAATTAATCTATTATTAAATAAATAAAAACAACAAAAGTATACAAGGTCTTGGTTTTCTTTGTTTCTTTGATAAAAATATACATATATATTAGGCAAGGAGACTTGACTGATAGCTAATGCTGGGTTGGGTGTCTTTCTAGGGCTTTGTTATCTCGCCTTGACAAAGAGAATGTCTTAAAAAATATACTATATTATATATATTTTTTAGGTTTCAAAACAAAAAAGTATTCTAGGCCGACAAATAAGCAAACCGTGTTCTGGACTTTGTTTACTGAAGAAAAAATCGTTATCTCTATAGGGAAGTCGAACCAGTTTTTCTCGTACTTTCTGCTAACATATAATCATACGAGTGTGAGTATTATAGGCATTCCTAAGGGTTTTACGGATTTTTCAAATTATTTAATTTTTAATGGAAAAAAAAAGTATATTTTAGTATTTAGTATTTTAGTAAAGGGTGTACCTTTGTTTTTATTTAGTGACTCATACTTTATTTGTTTCACAATATCTTATCGCCAGAAACCCAGCTCTTATCACCACGCCGCAAGCCCAGCTCTTTTGAATTTCGCGCCATACCACTCACAGTATGGGCAGCACTGGCGTTTAGTGCTCAAATGGCCACACTTTTGCTAGTGCTGGGCAGTGGTAGCGTGGCAGTGTTGTGAAGCGTCGGTGCAGCCACCCACCAGTCGATCGGCTGGGCTACTTAAAATTATTAACAAATCGCTGTTTTCATGTGAAACATCGTGCCAAAGTGCAATCACGGCCGAGCCACAACGACGGGGCATACGTAGAAAGTCAAAGAAGCAGGTAAACACCATGTGGGATCACTGGCAGTCCCCTTAAAGGCGGTTACTTCAACCAAAAGTTACAAAACAGTTGTCGCAAGAGAGCCAACAAAAAAATGGGGAAAAAAACGCGAAAAAATCGCCCTGACATTGTTTGTTATTGCTGTTGTTGTTGTTGTTGTCGTTGTACTCGTGACTGTGTAAATTAGTTTAAAAAAAACACAGTACTTGTATGAAAAAAATACAAATTAGAAAAACAATTTATGGTGGCGTAGTTATTTCTTGGCTTCAATTGATTTGTTGTCGCCTTTTCCTTTCTTTATTTGATTCCTATTTTTCCTTTTTGTTTTTCACATTTCTCTTTGCTGTTCCTTGTGTGCTGCCCCTTGTGGCGGCGGTGTTTTCTTTGTTTTTGTTATTTGGGGGTGGCTTTTGCAATCACCCCCTTGTGGCCGTCGCTGCACCCCACCAACTCCCCGATACGACGTGGAACAGCTGCATTGGTTGCCACACACACGTAGTACCAGTTACTAACTTTGCAAAAAAAAAAAATAAATGAAAAATGTGATGAGTAAGGCGCTTATTAAATTATGCCTTTAAATGCTGATTAGGCGTAGTTACTAGCGAAACATTACCAAAAACTCCAAGAGAATAAGGCCATCGGGGGCCGGAGAAGAAGATTCAATACCCTTATTCTTTTATGGGTATATTACAGTGATCTTTATCTTTCAAATTTTGTACTAAATTGTTTCTTTTTCTGGTTTTTAAACTTTAAAGCTTTGTTAATAGTCGGTAATCTTTTTAAAGGTTTCTAATAATAATATATTCTTTAAATTTTATAACAATGTATTTTTTTTGGGTTTTCAAAAATAGTTTTTTGTTTTCAACTCAAAAGTCTCTGTCGTACTCTAGTCTAGGTCTACAATGATCATTCTTATTGTCTTAAACCTTCGATGGGATTAATTTTCCACACCTTATACTCTTAAGCCCTTATGGGTTATTAGAAAAGTCTTTCCCTTTTACATTTTTCAAAAATATTTATTTATTTTGTGGTTTTTTAAAATCAGTTTATCGTAATTTTGGTTTTTGAACTGAAAAATCGATGCCAATGGCGTAGTTTTCAAATCAATACTCTTTTTTAATGCTCTAGTATACTCTTATTATGATCTTTTACTTTAATAGTTTTCAAATAGTCATTTTGAAACTTAAAGCCTAGTTTTATAGTTCACGATGGTAAGACATTCAAAAATGTTCAGTTTTTAAAGTTATAGATTAATGTAAGCAAGAATATATTATTATTATACAATTATAATCAGCTGATCTTTGTCATTTTTCAAAGTTTCTACTTTGTTCTTATCAGATTGTCTTTTAAAACCTAAAAGTCTTAAGAAGATAACACAACATAACACTAATTTGTGGTCTTATCTTCTTGAAATCTTTAAAAGTTCAAAACTTAAAGATCACAGTAAGGTCGAGAGATAGAGTCATCTTAGGAGTTTTTTTTAAATATACAACTTAAAGACCACAAAAGCTTACAAAAGATAAATTAAAGAAAAAAAAGACACATCCACAACTAATAAGACCAAAATATTAAAAAAAACCCTTAAGAAGGGTATTCATTATAAAGAAATAAAAAACATTAGCCCTGGGTTTTGGGGCGCTTGTTTTTGTTGGCTTTCGCCTTTGATACTTCTTCTTTGTTGTTGTTGGTGGGGCTTGTGTGTTCTGTTTTGCGCTTCTGTTTCCGTTTCGGTTACGCTTTGTGTTCTGTTTCTGGCTAGCTTCACGTGGATTCGTTTTATTGGTGCTCGAGTATCGCATGATAATCTCGCGCTACTGCTCTGTGGCGACGTTTGTTTTGTTGTTTTGCGTTCTTTAGTGTTGTTTGTATTGTTGTTGGTACTTTTTTTTATTTTCCTCACATTCTGTTGTTGGTGTTGTTGTTGAGCTTTTCCGCGGGCTTCGCACATTTACACTTTCCAACACAAACACACAGACAGCGCCAAACGGCAGGCGGCAGGCGGCATAGCTACCGAAAATTAAAAACATTTTCCCATCAAATCAAATTCAATTTAAAAAACTATCAACCGACACCGACCCGCATACTTTTTGAATTATTGAAGAAGCTCCCAAGCCCACGAGTCGATTCGGTTAATACCCTAGTATTCTAGCATTTTGGATTTTACGTTTTAAGAGGAAATACTTTTTTTAAAGAAAAGATTTTTCAATGAAAACCCTAAGAGATTTCTACCCTATATGAAGCGTAGGATAAATTGAAGGGATCCCCCATTTTTAGTACACAAATAGACACTCAATAAATGGTCAAAAATGTTCCAACCAAAAAGAAAATTAAATCTTTTAAAGACCGGGTCGAACACAGTACGGCCCTCCTAATACGAATCCCTTTCTTGCCATTCTACACAAGATTCTTGTTAGTTTCAAAATCTGTATCGCAACCCAACAAATATCGCACGAAATTGATAAGAAAAGTGTATTTCGCGCAACCCGATCGCGATTTGAATATGAGTAGGACTTCTGGTTTCTTATCACGCCCCGATTATAATATAATACTCTGTAGTATTATGTAGTGAGGTACCCGGTGCGTGGGATACAACTGCAAAGCCCTTCAGAAATCGGGACAATCGGTTAGAACAAATTAAGGCACCCACCAGTAGAGACAGTTTGTCAGCCCATCTGACGAGTTTTATTTTTCCTCTTTTGGTTTTTGTATAAATGTTTAAATTTTGCTTCGCAAGTTAGCGCCAAGTAGTCACCATTCGTACAATATACATATGTATATTTTTTAACCAAAAATTAAAGCAGTTTCAAAATTTAAAAATTGTATGAAATTCGAACATACCGATGGGGTTATTTTGGAAAATCAATTGGACAACAGCTTAAAATTGCATTAAATTTGTGATTTTTTATTTATTTGTTTATTTGGTGATTTTTTGTATCAATTTTTGAACACGCGGCATACACGCAGCCTTAAAAACCGCTTAAATGTCACAACACTCGAAGAAGGAGACGAGCATCAGCAGCAGCAGTAGCAGCGGCAGTAGCCATGCCTCCCACAACCACCAAAATCAATACCAAAACCAGAATCAGAATCAGAACAATCGCCACAGCAACAGCAACTCCAACAGCACCACCAAGCTCCACAAGAGGCAGCCAGCGGTGGCGGCAGTGACAGCCAACGGCAGTGTAAAGGCCAACAACTCTAATAGCCACAATAGCGCCATGCAGAATCAACCGCTCCTGGGCAAAGCGGCGCCCAACAGTCGTAAGGACAAGAACCAAAAAGACAAGCAGCGGGAACGAGAGCGCGAGGAGCGAACCCAGCTGGTACTCTGGAGACGTCCTCTGCAAACCCTTAAGTACTGCGCCCTCGAGTTAACTGCCCTGCTGCGTACGTGGAGTGCCAGGTGAGTCACATCTGGAACTCCTCAGGACCTGATCCCTAATCCGTTTTCCTTCCGTAATAGATTGCTGCAGCAGCGACTCTTGCTGGCCGTTCTGATAGTATTAGGCATCGCGTTAAGCTTAGTTTACAAAGTAGACGGACCCCACCAGCTGGCCATTGAGCTTGTGCGGAGAAACACCTGGTTCTTCGTCTACTGGCTGGGCCTGGGCGTTCTCTCCTCGGTGGGCCTGGGCACTGGCCTGCACACGTTCCTCCTCTACTTGGGTCCGCACATAGCCAGTGTCACACTGGCGGCCTACGAGTGCAATTCGCTCCGCTTCCCCCAGCCACCGTATCCGGATGAGTAAGTATTTCCAAAGAGCTTCCATGTACATTGTCATTTATCTTTAATCCTTTCCAGCATCATTTGTCCCGAGGAACCTTACGATAAAAGAGTGCCAAATATATGGTCCATCATGTCCAAGGTGCGCCTGGAGGCGTTCCTATGGGGAGCCGGTACCGCCCTGGGCGAACTGCCGCCCTACTTTATGGCCAAGGCGGCGCGACTATCCGGCTACGATCCGGACGATGCCGAGGAGCTGGCCGAGTTCGAGGCCCTGAACGCCAAGCGCCACCAAAAGAACCTCAGTCTGATGGACAAGGGCAAGCTGTTCATGGAGCGGGTGGTGGAGCGAGTCGGGTTCTTTGGCATTCTGGCCTGTGCAAGCGTGAGTGGTGAAAATCAATGTCGCACCCCGAGGATTCATTGCTGACTGAGTTTCTTGGCTTTATTCGAATTTTAGATTCCTAATCCCCTGTTTGATCTGGCCGGGCTCACATGCGGCCACTTCCTGGTGCCATTCTGGACCTTCTTCGGGGCCACTCTCATCGGCAAGGCCGTGATCAAGATGCACATTCAGAAGGTCTTCGTAATCATCGCCTTCAATGAGACACTGATCGAAAGGGCCGTGGATCTGCTGGCCGGGGTGCCATATTTGGGCCAAAAGTTGCAGGAGCCGTTCAAGGCCTTCCTCAAGAACCAGAAGCAGCGACTGCATCGTCGCGGTGGCGACGCCGTCCCCGCCGATTCGGGCAACATGCTGTCGAAGATCTTTGAGACCTTTGTCATTGGCATGGTCTGTTACTTTGTGGTCTCCATTGTTAACTCGCTGGCCCAGAGCTACCACAAGAGACTGCACAAGCGGGCCGTGGTACCGGCCGGTTCGACCCAAAAAACTGTGACAACAACCACATCGCCATCGGCGGCGTCAACCACGGCGTCGGTGATCCCCAGGAAAGCCGGCAAGCAGAAGGCACTACGCGATTAGAAAGAGATAGCGTGAGAGAGAGAGAGAGAGAGAGAGAGCGGCAATATCCTATTTGTATGTTTTACCACCAAAAGCGAGTAACCTCTAGAGGTCTCGTCCCCATTCTTTTAAATTATTTTGTGTTATGGCTTTCGCTTTTAGTCAAATTATAACCGGAAGTATGCGCGATGCTGATCATTAATTCTGTATTTTGTATGCATGTGTGAGCGAAATAGAAAGAGAGAGAGAGATAGATAGAGAGCAAGAGCGAGATAGATATAGGAAGAAAGTTTTTTTGGCCGGTTCAGCCTGAGGAATTTACCTTTATAGTCTAGATTAGGAGAAAAAAATAAAAAAAAGTAACGTAAATGCCCTTGAGTAGGAGGCAACAGCAGCAGCCAGAGAAGCCACTTTAGCCAGGATCAGGATAAATATACTAAATATATAGAAAAGATAAATATATTTTAGTAGTTTACCAGAACAGCTCTTTTTTTTTTAATTATACAAATGATAGGAAAAAACAGCGAATCGGAGAGCTGCTAGTCGCACTTAATGAAAAGCAAATTGTGCTAAAAGTTCTGCAAAAGACAAACAAAAACAAACACAAACAAGAATAGACATGCATAAACATGCCAGAACAAACAGAAATTAGCCCAAAATTTTTAGCCAGAAGTGAAAAAAGCAAAAATAGAAGAATATTAAACTAAAACAGAAAACATAAAAAATAAAAAAACGCTGAAAAATAAACGAAATATGGATATTACAAAGAAATGAAACCCAATGTATTCAACAAATTTAATTTGGGACTGAAATGGGCTACTAACTGGGGAGTTATTGAAAAATAAGTAACCAAATCCTGAATTATATATGTATTATTAACAAATTATTGATATACAAAACCAGAAACTGATGTAAAACCCCAAAAAAAGAGGAACTGAAAGTGAAATATGCAAAAAATAGTTCATTAAACATTTAACGAAGAAAAGGCTACAAGAAATCTAAAATTTAAAGGAACTGAACTGGAAAAGAGCATTCATTATGCAGAAAAAAATTAAAATAAATGCAAATACCGAAATGCTGAATAATAAAGGAAATATGGATAAACAATTAATGTTTCTATTTCTTTGGAAGAGAAGTTTAAAAAATTAATCATACGACATGTTGCCTTTTGTTGGGGAGATACAAAAATTACTCATACGACCTGAGGGCCTCTAAAAGCAAAATAGAAACCCCCGGGTATAGTAGGGGTTCTCGATTACGTGGGGATTACGGGTCGCTTAGATTTGCAGAAAATCCGTTATCAACAGTTGGCCTCCATTTTGAAATCAAGCTGGCACTCATTAAGCCAAATAGCTCCTGGCCCATGGCTACGCCTCCCTCCTCTCCCTCTCTTCTTCACCCGTTTTGAGTGTCCGGCTTGAAGGACAATTGTCGCTGCTAGCAGGACATGGTATGGTTTTCCAGAAGGGGGCTAGGCCAGCCGGGATGGTGAGCAGGCTAGCGATGATGCCGACGCGCTTTGAATGCCTAATCCTGTCAACAGCTTTAACATTCCGCAGCAACAACAAAAGTAACAAAAACAACAACCAGGGGCTTAATGCAAATAGTTTCCTGTTCGAACTTCAAATTCATGTTTAAGCATGAACAATAGTTTGCCCAAAAGTAGGCCTTGAAGTTTCCTAAAAAGGTTTATTTTTGAAGATACTTATTAATTGCATTAGCCGCCCCTTTTAAAGCCACGCCACTGGCCGGCAGGAAGGCAAACAGCGATGACAACTGCCAGCGGCTAACGGCGAAAACGTCCTACAGTGTCAACACATTCGGTCGGACGGTGGGCAGGGCCTAGGTGCTTCTAGTTGTTGAGCTACTAGTGCGAGGGAGATGGCCGCTGCTAGGCTGACGTCTATCCGTCTAAGAGACGGACACGGACAAGTCCGCACAAGACTAAAAAAAATAAAATAAAGGGACGTGCGAAATGTCAGCGGCTAGAACTCTGCACGTACGTTAAATATTTTCATTTAGCTGTCAGCATTTATTTAAAATGGACACAATATACGGGGATAGGGTACAGTGGGGGGATTAAGCTGGAAGCTGGGCATTTACAGTTACAGCGTGTCCTGGCAAAGCTAAGGGCATAAATTCCGCTTGGCTGCACGGACGGTGCGTAGGGGTGTGGCCTCCGAGCTACACAGACAGTAACAGCAACAATAACCACAACAACACAGTCAGACAAACACACACGCAGTCCGATAGACAGACAGCCGGAAAGACCGAGAGACAAACACACACGCACACACAAGAAACAGTAACAGAGCTCCAAACTCCATATAGGTGAGAGGCTATGTGCGTGTCGCCTTTGACATTAGTTGATACACCTCGACCTCACACAGCTGCGACCGAAGAGAGCAAAGCCTCCATTTTAGTCTTAAAACTTGCACCTCCTTTGCCCGGCCCCCTTTATCTCTTTATGCCCCTTTCTCCAGCTCTTCTGATGGCAGTTTAGTCGGTGCGCCAAAGTATGCAATACAATTATGCTGCGTGCGAGCGAGAGGCCATCAGAGAGTTTGGAGAGCTGTTGAGTATGCCCAAGGACTAGGGGAGCAAAAGCGGGAGAGAGTGAGATAAGGCGCGTGCAAGAGCCTTCGTCAGATAGGAGAGAGTTGGCTGATTTAAAGCCAAAATGGGAGGTTCTCTTCAGGGCCTATAACGTTTGGATAACAAAATATTCAAGATAAAAGAATGTTTTTAAATCCTTTTAAAAATAAATTAAATATATTTTATTATTGAATTATTGTGTTTTATTTTTAATTTAAATTAAAAATTTTAACTGATCAATCATCCTAACAAAAGTATATTTTTTTGTACTCCTATTTGAAATGAAAAGAAACCGCTAAGCAATTAGAAAGTGTTCCAGTTGCCATTAATATGGCCCGGCTGATGGCCGTGCTCAAGTGCCTGGCTTGGGGCTGCGAGCTTTGCTTTCGGCCTGTGCGCGTGCAAATATGACAAAGCTCTCCCCAGCACTCCCCCCAAAAGCCGCATAAAAACCCGCCACTTTGGCAGCTTCCTGCGCGTAGCCAGCCATATGGCCGCTAGCCGACTCCACAGTGCAACAGGCATGGCGAGGGGGCCACCAGGAGCTACTTTCTAGAGATGAGTCGAGGTGGAGCTTTGGTCTATCGATCCAGCTATGAAAAATTCTTGTTATTTCAAATCATGTCCGAAAAATATATATTTTCTTAAAAAGCTTTAATATAAACGTTATCTTTAAGTTTGGAACATTTTTTTATAGTATTTCTTGTTAGTTTGGTAAAAAAATAACATTTTTCGATCACTTTCGATAGCTTCGATAGCAAAAGTGTCATCTCTAGCAGGCATTGCGATTAATATTTGTAACGGTACTGGCGGACTTTCGACAGTCGCCGCTTGGCAGTTGTGCCTCAGACGCCAACCAGGCTGCGTGCGCATACGGACGTCGACGCTCCGCCCAACGTTCCGTAACGCTTCGCAACCGTTGTCCGGACTCCGGAGACGTGTATTGCTGCTGCATGCCGCAGAAAAACACAACAGTTGGGAAAAACAGCAGAATAACTGTTCTTGGGGGATAAGCGCGAGCCTGTCGGCTGGCAATGAATGGGAAGCGCTGTTGTTAGCGACAGCGACGCAAGATAAAAAGACGGCGACTATAATGTGACAAGATGGACTTCCAGAACCGCAACAACACGGCCAACAAGTTTGTCTGTCCCAGTGACAGACAGCTGGCCCTGCGTGCCAAGTGAGTATAGTACAGTAGAGCTTCTATAACTGGAAAGAGACTATTTTTTTCGTGTGTTTTTGAGATGAATTGTGTGTGATGACAAGATCTGACAAGATTTATGGCGAGTTAAAACATGTTTAAACAAGAAAAGTGCTTAGAAGGATAACCCAAATTGGGTATACTTTTAGGCGCTTAAAAAGAGGTTCCACTGTGCCTGCATGTTTCCCTTGAAAACATGGCATTGAAATGCAACAATTGGCTGAATGCGTCACACTATCCTCTCCAAAAAAATAATAAAAAACCGCCGTCTGATAAGAGTGGCTTCAGTTTTTTTGTTTGCTATTTTTTTCGGTGTTGCTCTATGTGTGTGTGTGTGAAACAAAACAACAACTACACGCGCGAACTTGACAAAAGCTTTAGTCATAATTTAATTAACTTTGACTTGGCCGGAGAGAGTTTATACGCGTGTGTGAGAGTGTGGTTGCGGCTGATTAGCCGAAAGCACACGACATTGTGTCCTAATCAAATGAAATATTTGTACATGTGCGCCACTCACACTGAGAGACTCACACACCTACATACATACTAGCACACTGACACATAGGGGCGTCCCTGAGCTGTCAAGGATCCGCTGCGCGCTAGCATGCCTTAGTGTGCGTTTCTAATCATAATTGTTGCATGCTGACAGATTAATTAAATTTTAATAATGCTCAATTTTTACGACGCCCCTTGCGAACTTGATAGACCCTCGCCGAGGCTTTCATTTATTTATTGCAATTGACGCAGAGAGAAAAAAATAAAAACAAAATAAAAAAGGATGGGAAGTGGGCGGCCATTTACATGATTTGTGTGGCACGCCCATCCATCCATCCAGCCACCCAACAAAAATAAAATAAATAAAGCAAGAAAGAAAATCCTCATTCCCCACACAAAAATGGTAGCAGCATTACCCCCGATATCCCCGACATATGCTCGCATATAGTAGCATACTGTTCGGGGCTGTCCAACTCGAATCGACTCTGTTGGCCTCTGCTCTGCTCTGCTCGACTCGACTCGACTCAACTGAACTCGAATCAATCCCAGCTGACTGTAAATGCGACTTGGGCGCATTAAAAATACAAAAAGCCGCACACACCCCACCCACCCATCGCCAGGGTGGATATGCGGGTGAGGGCTGCTGGTGGGTTGAAGGCTGCCAGCCAGGTTTCAAGTGTGCAATTTACACTTCCGTTCGCTCGCAACATTGTAAGGACTCACGGAAAGTCTAGGGTGGACTTGGTCCTTTGTGCTAACTTCTTCAATTAAAGTATCTTCAGCAAATGTTTCTAAAAAGATGAAAACATTTAATAAAAAAGTATACTAAAAGATGACATTCTTCAAAGACAACACGGCGTATGATTGATTTTTAAAAAATAAGACGAAGTTCCTAGAAAAGTCTTTAAAATAATCCAAACTGTTACAAATAAATAGTAAAAATATTTCCTTATTCAATTTTGGGAGAAAGAGGTATCTGAGACAATGCTTTAAAGATAATTGTCCTCTAAAAGGACAACAAGGCGTATGAGTGATATAACTTAATTCCCAATCTCTAATGCTACTGTAAGCACAGTTTTAGGCTGAAAGGCTTAAACATTTTTTTTAAGGACTTTATAGTCTCTACTATGCGCATTAAGCTCTTAAACCATTACATTATTAAATACAAAAAAACCAACAGTGCGTATGCTTAATATTATTTTAAAACATGGAAAGACAGCAACGTATTTTGTATAATTTTTATGCAAACTATCCATGTTTCCAAAGCAGCTCGAAACGAAGACCCTCATGCCTAGATGTATTTTATTTGCTACCCAAATTAAATGAACCATTCAAGTTCACCCAAAAAACACAGCAGCGCAGAAACAAGCAGCTTTCTGGCATTGCCAGCAAATGAGTAAGGGGGCTATAGGGTTTTATTTTTTTGTTTTTTCGTTCAGTTTGAGGCATTTTTTTTGGGAAGTTGCGGGGAACCCTGAGTTAGCGAGCTGCCGTGCTGCTGAGCTGCTGCTCGTGGCATTGGCTCTGTACTTGAAATTCAAATTACAACTCAAGGGAGACCCACAGGGCTCGTGGAAAGCCAAAGTCAAAGGAGCCAAAGTCAAAGGAGCGTAAGAAGTGGAGAATTAACGCGAACTCAAATCGCGGCCACAGGACTCCCAGGCAGGACTCCAGTTGGCTTTTTTTTTTGGCATGCTTAACTATGCAAATGAGACGATCTCTCTGCCTCCAAAGCCGCCATGCCACCAAATCTGGCGACACGCAGCAGCACTCTCCGACATTTATTAAATCCAACGCAAGAGTGCCAACCGCAAAAGCAAGTGGCTCGGCCTTCTTTATTTTAGAAATGCACGGCGTGACATGTGCCACGCAGACTGCCATTTGTAAAATGAAATAATTTACGTGGGTGTCTGATAATTTTTGTAAGACGATTGCCGGAAATGCCTGAAAGTAGGCTGTAAATGGGGGAATTGTTGTCAGCCTTTTGGGGGTTTCTAAGAGGATTATTGGAAAGGACTTTATCAAACAGGAATAGGAAGTTATAGGCAATATTATTTCTGATAAACTACAAGCCAATGTAGGTATTTAAATAAATAATCCTTCCCAAATGTATTGCCTACATTAAGGCGGATTAGCCTTTATTGTTAACTCCCGCAAGAAAAGGGGTTTCTTTTTTGTACAAAAATTACAGAACTTCTTAATTCTTTTCTCAAATATTGTAAAGCTACAAAGACATCGACTTTTAGAGAAAAGTATTGAAGCAAGTCAGCTGGCAGCGCTTCCCCTTGACTTTTAAAATTGAAATTGAGCTTCAATTTGGCGTGTTTCTCTCTTCTTTTTTATATATCCTGCGAGTCGAAATTGAATTTCGCCTGGCTACGGTGCTAAAGGAGCCGTATTATATACAAAATTGAATCGAGTGAAATGTTGGCTTCTTATTGTCAAAGTCTCGACTTTTTAATTTACTTTCAACGTGAAGAGATGAAACCCGATTTTCCGCCCAACTTTTCCATTTAAAAAGTGAAACACAGTTGCGAAACCCTAATAACGATGATAATAACAAAAACCTGAATGGGTATTCGTAGAGATGCAAATGCTATTCAAACTACAGGCTTTTTCGTCATTTTCGGTTCAAGCGACTGTGAAACGAGGTTCCAGTTTGAATAAATTATTTTAATTGCGGGTTCTGGTCTGGAGTTTTGGGAGGTATTTTGTTATAGATTTAAATCAAATCGAAGGGAAATCCTTGTGGGGCTTAGCTTAATGCACATTTATTTGATTGTTGCGGCTTTAAGCTGAAACTGGCTCACTGGCTTATCCCCCTGACAGGGATATATGTAATATACGTTGGGGATAAGAGTCGACTTTGTCATGCCAAGTCGAGTGAGCCAAGTACTTCTCCCTCATTGTTTTCGGCGACAGAAACAATCAGATTTTCGTGTAACAATAAACTCTGACCTAACTCTGAGAGAGAGTGCTGTCCCGTGGGCTTAAGGATCATCATCGTCGTCATGAGTAGGTTTGGGGCTTGAGGTTTTCGGGGTTTCCATTTGGAGCTCCCTATTGATTTGGTTATTTGGCGGGGCCAATGTTGATAGAGCACTAAACGAATTTCTAATTTAATTATGATGTTAAGGAACCCGCCGCAAGGGCATTTAAGCAGCCACCCACTCCCACACACCCCCGGCTGTGCCACGTAGAGTCAATAAACCCGCCGCCGCGAAGGCAACAACACGAAAAAAGTAAAACATGTCGGGGTCCGGATTTGCATGCCACTCCATTCCGGACATGCTAGTGCGTGCCCGTATGTGGGCTATACTTTTTTCTTTTCCCATTTTTAATGGCATCTAAGTGGCTTTATAGAGCCCAACTAAAAACAATCGCAAACTATGTAAATGAGAGAGCAAGAAAAGTGAGTCCCCAGAACTGCAAATTTCTGGGCAACTTGTAGTTACATTTTCTGCCCAAAATGTTTGCTTTCTCCCCCAAATTTTCACACAAAAAGTTCCTCAACGACCTTCCTGTCTTCCTTTTACGTTTTTTTGTTTTATTATTTAAAAGGGCGACCGCATAAAATATTTAAGCAACTTAGGTACACCCTTAAAAAGTTTATGGGCCAAAAATAGTTTGAGGAGTTTCTTAAAAAAGGTTGGAATTCGAGAGAAAAAAGTGACGAAAAGTTAAGGCCAGTTGTTGGCTAGAAGAGCCGACTAATCACGTGTCCAAAGAGTGATATTGTTAATGTTATTATAATGATGGGGATATTTTCTTATCTTTACACGAGCTTGTAAAAAATAATCAACAGGCTAAAAATATATAGATTGTTTGCGTATTAGGTGACTGGTGGTTTCTATTAAAAGTTAATTAGGATTGATGGACTAATAGGCACAGTCCATGTTTAATTATGAAAAATACTTTTTAAAATTGTATTTCCTCTCATGTTTCGAAGCTGGGCGTTAGGGTTGCCACCCTCTCCATTTATAATTCATACATGCTCTGGGCAACAGTGGTGGGGCTTTTTATGGGTGTAATGAACCCGAAGCTGGAGGTAATTAACTTTGAACTTGACATTTTGGCCGAGTGGTCGAGCGGCAACATGGAAACCGCATTAAGACCTGCTCTTTCGGTACTCAACACCAACCCCTCCCCCCTCGCTAAGGACGCTCATTAGGGTCCACCCCAATCTAACAGAGACACCCACAACAACCCTAATTTGCGTACACTTGGGGAAAAACATTGGGGATTTCTCTTTCAACTATATCAGAGGCTATAGAGTTGGTTTTCTTTTCTGTCGATTAGTTATGAAATTCAATAATAATAATAGGTATTTTTCTTTCAGTGCTATAGTATTCTCTTATATTTAATCTCGCAACACTTTTCCTTTCCTAATTCAGATTGAAAGCCGGATGGAGCAGCTCCAAGAGCAGTGAACCCCTGCGGCCCGAGGAGCAGGAGGCCATCATATCGGTGATCCGGCGGAACGAGGAGATCGAAGTGGCGGAGCGCCTACGGGTGGGGCGACTTGTGGAGCGCGTGGAGAAGATCAAGCAGCATGCCGTGGAACGGGGCCCGAACTGCTGTCGCCTCTGCGGCGATACCTTCGGCCTGCTTCGCGGCCACCGGATCATATGCGAGGACTGCCGCCAGGCGGTGTGCACCAAGTGCAGTCTGGATATCAACATCCGGTATCACACCAGCGAGAAGTCCCGTGAGATCTGGCTGTGTCGCATCTGCTCCGAGACGAGGGAGATGTGGAAGAAGTCCGGCGCCTGGTTCTTCAAGGGCTTACCCAAATACGACATTCCACGCAGTGCCAGTGCCACGCCCACGCCCACTCCCTGCGCAGGAAGCATGGCAGGTGGGTTTTCCGTTTTGAGTTTGGGCTTGGGTTGGCATGCCAAATCCAGGCACAAGAACGTGTCGGGAATTCGTGGCCTCGGCTCGGCTTTAAAGTTTCCTCAAGGAAGAATTCAATTCCGTCTAAATTCCGTAAATAACCCATGCAAATTGACCCAAATTCCCGGAGCCAAATGAAGTTAGGGCCAAAAGTTAACGCAGTCACGTAGTGAAAGGAGGGAATTATGTTCGCAATTGAGAGCCGTTTTTCCACAAAATGTAATTGCAGTTTGCGATTATCTGACGCGTGGTTTGAAAAGAATATATAATATATAAGAATATAGTATTTCTAATCTTAAATAGAAGTTAAATAGAAAAGAAGACCCTCTTCCAGCAAATCCTGTTCAATAATAAACATTCCATGCTCCATGGAGCTCCTCTAAGGCAATGATAAATAAACACGAGGCCCTTTTGCGTCTATTTTAAGTCTCAAAATGAGACACAAATAAACATAGCCCCACCAAACGCGCAGCACAAACATTTATTTATTCAAATTATACTTTTTCCGCGGAAACCCCTTGTCAGGGTGCAAAAAAAGGGCCCAACCCTAATAGATAGAAAAGTTGCAAGTGGACGGCCTTTGACGAAACCTGACAAATTAAATTTGATAGTAATTTCCGCTCCTAATTGAAATGGCTTGAAAATTGAATTTTAATTGAGCTGAAATTAAGCGAGTGGTTAACAAAAAAAACTCAAAAAACTCTTTAAAGTTCGGGGGATATAGGATGTAACACAGCACCTAATTACTCAGATAAAGGTTAAAACTTTCCACAAACGGGGTGGGGTTGGGGGGAAAGTTATCACAAAATCCATGCACAACACTAACAAAACAACCGCATCATGCATATCCATGTACATACATATATGTATATGTATGCAAACTTATTTAATTATAGTGGAGGAGGGAAATTGCATTGGCCTTGAAATGTAAGCCCTTTATGCCCGGCTTATATGGCTACAAAGAGCGCAAAATTCGCATGAAAATTTGATAGCAATTTGCGCACGAAAGCAAATTACGCAATTTATCAAGTGAAGCCAAATGGAATAAGGCAACATGATGCTATTTAATGCCATTAAGTTGTGGCTAAAAACTTAAAAAAGCTAGTGTTTCCTGATCTCTTGTTTTTATATTTGAATACCTTTTAATGCCATTAAATTCTTGCTAAAAATTGAACTAAAGTCAGTGGCGATAGTCAGTAATGCGATCTTTATCTTTGTTTTCTAATCTCTCTTTTCAGAAACATCATAAAATGTTTCATCCTTTAAAAGAGTGATTGGTTTATGTATTTTCCTTTGAATAAAAGAGAGCTTAAATTGAAAACGTATGTTATAAAGCGAAAAAGCAATCGAAAAACTCCGATAACCAAAAAAGGGCTTAGGAATCGATAAAACTTTCAACTCTATCAGTAATTGATAAAGCTCCGATTAAACTGAAAAAAGGAATGTGTTTAAAACTCCGTTTTCGATGAAAAAAACTAAAATTTCAATTTCCATCGGAATCGGAATAATCGCTATCGTTAGTCATCGCTTCTTGTAGAAAGGCTTGAGAAATCTCCATATTACATCTAAAGATTAGGATAACCTATTTCTAAGTGCCACTGTCCCTAGGAGTCTGGTGTAAAAATCGAAAAATCGAAACTAAATCGTTATCGTTAATCGCTGATTTTTGTCTCTCTCCTTGACCAGGAGACACGCGGGCCGTGCAGAGTTGCCACGGCACACCGACGCGTCCGGCGCGGGTGAAGAAGCTAACGATCCGGGTTAACGACAGCAGTTCCAGTTCGGGTCACTCCGAGCCAGAGGACGAAGTGGACGGCGGACCAGGCGGTGCCTCGGCCAGCAACGGAGGCAGTGCTGGGGGAGCCGGGAGTGTCCCTAAGAGCGGGTCAGCCACCGGCGGACGACTGCAGCGGGACGATAGCTTCCGGTTGAGGGCCTACGGTTCCATACGGAGCTTCATCGACGGCGGCGAACGGAAACTGTCCAACTCCTTCTTCTTCGGCCGCCAGCAGAGCCATCGGCCCTCGGAGTGTCCGGACTACGACAGCGTCAGCATGTCCAAGTTGCGGCGGGAGAGCAGCTTCCTGCGGCGTGGTTCTGTGAGCTCTTCCTGGTCCATTAGCGACAGCTCCGGATCGGGCAACTCTGGCAACTCGCATACCACCCAGTCTCAGGCCCCATCCACCACCCAGTCCCAGTCCCAATCCCAGCTGTATCATCAACAGCAGCAGCAGCACTGTCGGGATCCGCTCCTCGGCTGGCTGGAGATCGCCATCAGCTATAGGGAGGCCTTCCACAGCCTGGACTGTACGATGGTCCGGGCCAGGGATCTGCCAGCCATGGATGCCGCCGGTCTCACCGATCCCTACTGCAAGCTCAACATCATCACCCCCGAGGCCCACACCAAGTACACCCGATGGCAGCGCACCAAGACTGTGCACAAGACCCGCAACCCGGAGTTCAATGAGACGCTGCAGTTCGTCGGCGTGGAGCCGGAGGAACTGGGTAACTCTCTGCTTTATGTGGCACTCTTTGATGACGACAAGTACGGACACGATTTCCTGGGGGCGGCGAAGGTCTGCCTCTCTACGGTGAGTTATTACCGGGTTTTGATTCAGATTCTTAGGATTTTTAAAGATTTTTAAAGTTTGGCCAAATGTGGATTAAACATAGTGTTGAAAAAGACATCAAAAGTGTTGCTTTCCAACACTAGCCTTGTCGGTCATCACAGTAGCCTTGACTTTTTATGGAAATTGCAAGTCCCTAGAGTTCTATCCATTATTATTCAGTCGGCATTCGGACTCAAAGGCGACAACATATTGCCTCTTTCCTAAATAATTAGGAACATTTATTTATTTATATTTTTTTTAATTTTGTTTTTCGAATTTTTCTTTATTTATTTTTTTATTTAGTGGTTTTTAATTACGCCTATACCCGCCCCCTTGTTGGGACCTAGAGTTCTATCCATTATTATTCAGTCGGCATTCGGACTCAAAGGCGACAACATATTAGGAATTAGGAATATTTAATATTATTTTTTAAATTTTATTTTAACTTTTTTTATTTTTTCTTATTTTGATTCATTTTTTATTTTACGTTGGGCTCTTGAAAGGACGATCTCCCGTGTGGTTGGCTCAACTCTTTTATTTCATTATTTTTTTATTAAGTGGTATTTGTTAGACATCCGAGCAAGCACCTTTTGGGACCTCTTTTTTATTTTTTTCCTTTTTGTTTAATTTCTAATTTTGTTTATTTACTACTTTTTATTAATTTTATTTAAAAGAAAAATACATACTGTGGGCTCTTGTACGGTTTTTCGCCCGTGTGAATTTTTCACACAGACCACAGATCTTTATTTTATTTCATTATTTTTTATTCAGTGGTATTTGTTATACACCCGCCGAAGATCCTTTTGGGACACACTCTTTTTTTATTTTTTTCCTTTTTGTTTTATTTTTTATTTTGTTTATAAACTTATATTTATTAATTTTATTTAAAAAAAACATACTGTGGGCTCTTGTACGGTTTTTCGCCCGTGTGAATTTTTCACACAGACAACAGATCTTTATTTTATTTCATTATTTTTTTATTCAGTGGTATTTGTTATACACCTGCCGAAGCTCCTTTTGGGACACTCTTTTTTTACTTTTTCCTTTTCGTTTTATTTTTTATTTTGTTTATAAACTTATATTTTTTAATTTTATTTAAAAAAAAACATACTGTGGGCTCTTGTACGGTTTTTCGCCCGTGTGAATTTTTCACACTCGCCAAGGACTCTTTGTGATTGCTGATTTTATATTATTGAAGAATTAATTTTTTTGTATAAGATACGTTTGTTTAATTTATTTACCAGATATAGCCATAAATCTAGGTTTTTCTCAATCATCACCTTGGCCTGGACTTTTATGGATTTTTTAAACCCCAAAATCCTTCCCAATTTCATTCAGTCATAGTTGCGAACCGAAAACGGCAACATCGTGCCTCAGTCCTAAATAGTGCGGAAAATTTTTATTTTATTTTTAATTTCTGATTATTCTTACCTTTTTTTTTTGCATTCTTCTTATTTGCAAATTGTGCCTTGGACTCTTGAAAAACCTTTTCGCCCTTGTGGTCCTGCAACGGGTGGAAGAAGATGTGGGTCTTTATAATTACGTGGTTGCTGATTCTGTTCTATCTCAAAGTTGTTTCGGATTGGTTCGAAGCCACTTCCGATACACATCTTTAGATTAATTTTGTAGTTGTTTCATGATTAAAAATTTTACGTAAAATGTTTGTGGGGCCGCAGGTGCATAGTACAACCCAGTACCGGATATCAGTGCCCCTGGGAGCGGAGGATCAGTACAGCAATGCGGCGGAGATGTCCCAGAACTGGCCGAATGGCAAGATGCTGCTATCGCTCTGTTACAACACGAAGCGCCGGGCTCTGGTGGTGAACGTGAAGCAGTGCATCAATCTAATGCCGATGGACAACAATGGAAGCTCGGATCCCTTTGTTAAAATGTGAGTTGCCCCCATCTACTATTTTTATTTATAAATTAATTAATTTATTTTTAAGACAATTAAAACCCGACGCACACAAGAACAAAAAGCACAAGACCAGCGTCAAGTGGCGCACGCTCAATCCGATCTACAACGAGGAGTTCTACTTCGAGGCCAGTCCCCACGACCTCAACAAGGAGATGCTCATCCTGACTGTCTGGGATAAGGATCTGGGGAAGAGCAACGACTTCCTCGGCAGCCTGCAGTTGGGCGCCCAAAGCAAGGGCGATCGCCTCCAGCAGTGGCTCGACTGCATCCGGTTGCCGGATCATTTCCATGAGAAGTGGCACTGCCTCGCCCCCGACAATCCCGCCCACTAAAGGATCAACACCATACAATCCCGCCGCCCATCCTGCCCCCAATCCAAAAGCATAAAAACCAAATCGATCCAATCTTATCGAACTTATCCTTGGAAGTCAACCGCTGGGTTTCTAATTTTTTGGTGGGAATTCTGTTTTGTTTCTTCAGTGTTACTTCAAGATTAAGGGTGGCAGTTATTGTAAAAAAATCTGATTATTTGTTTCATAAAAGCTGTTATTTGTTTCTCCTAAAAAAAAAAAAAGTTTATTCAATTTTATTCAGAAACTATATCCGGTTCAAAATGTGTATAATTAAAATATGGGCTAAACCGGAAGACTTTAATCATATGCCTATTTTTTAGGAGGCTTCAGTACTCTTTTCCTTAAACAAAAATCTACAAAAACACAACAAAATTTTAATTTAAAATTAAAAATTTCTTAAAAATTCAAAACTTAAAAAAAGGTCTGCCAAAAAATTAGAACCTCCAACCCCCAAAAATGACTTTAGCTCCAAATATACACTAATATTTAAACTTATACATATACATACATATATAAATATATATTATATACATATATTTTTGATATGCCTGCGTGTGAATGAGAAAGAGCTACTACGAAAAGAGATAGAAAGATATTGTGTGAGAGTGTACAAGTGTGTGTATGTACGATCGATTAAGCTTTCCAAAAACAAAAATATCTACGTAATTTAACCTCAATTTTCTATGTCTATATACTTTGGATCTTATCGGCATTTTTGTACACTGTATATAGCTTATTTAAGTGTCCTTACCAAGGGTTAATCAACATCAAAAACAAAAACGAAAAACTACAACAAATCTTTTCGATTCATTGCTAAATTCAATCTATAATCAAACTTACACTTACGTACTTCAAAATATATCGAAATATATATATACAGCTATATTCTAAAACTGATCATGGATTTTGGGTTCTTTTATTTGGGGTTTCCCATAAGAATGTGGGATAGATACATATGTATAGATACATACATATGTCGGATTTGTTGACCATTTTTCCTGAGGGACCCCTAGAAAATGTGGTTTTCCCTATAGCGTCCACCGCGATGGCTATATCTTCCCCAATTCTCATCCGATTCTTAAGCCAAGTACCTTAAACGATTTGTGGATCGATTCTCCACCGTTCTGCATCAAAATCCTGAGACAAAATATTTTTTACATTTTTTGTCCATTTTTCCTGATGGACCCCTTGAAAATGTGGTTTCCTCCTATTGGGTCCACAGTGATGGCTATATCTTCCCCAATTCTCATCCGATTCTTAAGCCAAGTACCTTAAACGATTTGTGGATCGATTCTCCACCATTCTGCATCAAAATCCTGAGACAGAATATTTTTTAGATTTTTTTCCCATTTTTCGATGAGATCCCTTCAAAATGCGGTTTTCCCCTATAGGGTCCACCGTGATGGCTATATCTTCCCCAATTCTTATCCGATTCTTAAGCCAAGTACCTTAAACGATTTGTGGATCGATTCTCCACCGTTCTGCATCAAAATCCTGAGACAAAATATTTTTTACATTTTTTGTCCATTTTTCGATGGGGTCCCTTGAAAATGTGGTTTCCCCCTATGGGGTCCACCGTAATGGCTATATCTTCCCCAATTCTCATCCGATTCTTAAGCCAAGTACCTTAAACGATTTCTGGTCCGATTCTCCACCATTCTGCATCAAAATCCTGAGACAAAATATTTTTTCGATTTTTTGTCCATTTTTCGATGGGGTCCCTTAAAAATGTAGTTTTCCCCTATAGGGTCCACCGTGATGGCTATATCTTCCCCAATTCTTATCCGATTCTTAAGCCAAGTACCTTAAACGATTTGTGGATCGATTCTCCACCGTTCTGCATCAAAATCCTGAGACAAAATATTTTTTACATTTTTTGTCCATTTTTCCTGATGGACCCCTTGAAAATGTGGTTTCCTCCTATTGGGTCCACAGTGATGGCTATATCTTCCCCAATTCTCATCCGATTCTTAAGCCAAGTACCTTAAACGATTTGTGGATCGATTCTCCACCATTCTGCATCAAAATCCTGAGACAAAATATTTTTTACATTTTTTGTCCATTTTTCGATGGGGTCCCTTAAAAATGTAGTTTTCCCCTATAGGGTCCACCGTGATGGCTATATCTTCCCCAATTCTCATCCGATTCTTAAGCCAAGTACCTTAAACGATTTGTGGATCGATTCTCCACCGTTCTGCATCAAAATCCTGAGACAAAATATTTTTTACATTTTTTGTCCATTTTTCGATGGGGTCCCTTGAAAATGTGGTTTCCCCCTATGGGGTCCACCGTAATGGCTATATCTTCCCCAATTCTTATCCGATTCTTAAGCGAAGTACCTCAAACGATTTGTGGATCGATTCTCCACCATTCTGCATCAAAATCCTGAGACAGAATATTTTTTAGATTTTTTGTCCATTTTTCCTGATGGACCCCTTGAAAATGTGGTTTCCTCCTATTGGGTCCACAGTGATGGCTATATCTTCCCCAATTCTCATCCGATTCTTAAGCCAAGTACCTTAAACGATTTGTGGATCGATTCTCCACCATTCTGCATCAAAATCCTGAGACAGAATATTTTTTAGATTTTTTGTCCATTTTTCCTGATGGACCCCTTGAAAATGTGGTTTCCTCCTATTGGGTCCACAGTGATGGCTATATCTTCCCCAATTCTCATCCGATTCTTAAGCCAAGTACCTTAAACGATTTGTGGATCGATTCTCCACCATTCTGCATCAAAATCCTGAGACAGAATATTTTTTAGATTTTTTGTCCATTTTTCCTGATGGACCCCTTGAAAATGTGGTTTTCCCCTATGGGGTCCACCGTGATGGCTATATCTTCCCCAATTCTTATCCGATTCTTAAGCCAAGTACCTTAAACGATTTGTGGATCGATTCTCCACCATTCTGCATCAAAATCCTGAGACAAAATATTTTTTAGATTTTTTTTTCCATTTTTTGTGTTGACCCCTTGAAAATGGCGATCCTGATCATAAATGTATATACTATATAGGGTCGGATATGAATCCTTCACTGCGTTGCACACTCGTGACCAAAATTATAATACCCTTTGCAAGAGTATAAAAACAAACAATACCCCTCCCAAATTACAGCACATAAAGCATAATCATAATCATTATGAATAAATCGAAACAAAATAAATATTTGAGATAAGAACTCCCAGTCGAACCCCTTCCACGTGCCGAAGATAACCCCCTTGGACACGTTCTAACCCTCGAAATAAGCGAAAAACAACTCTGATCGCACATTCCATTTGTTTCAGTTCACATTTAATAAATTTTGGCATAAAGAGGTGCTTAACACTTGAAGTATCCAACTCTACATCCAAAACACTATACAAGTAGAAAATCAACATCTATGCACATATAGCGAATGCAAGAGAATAATAAGTAGGAGGCCAACAAACGCGTTGCGCTCAGTATATAAGGAAGGGATATATAATATATATCGTGTATATATTTCATATATATAGTGTACATACAATTCTAAACAGACCAAGTCGCCTGAAAACACTTATGTTCCTAAGGATTCTACGGATTCTGTCGCTCAGAGACAGGATATATGGTATGCTACTATGGTATACACATTCGACTTTCGGTACCAACCTCCGGGTAACCAAAAAAACTAAAAAAAAAAACACTTGTTATAAAATAACCTGGGAGTGATGGGGGAATCTATGTTGCGGAAAGGGAATCGTTGGTTGATTCGAAAACATGGCTTAAACCTAAAACACTGGCACGAAGGCCAGATAGTAGAATAATTGGATCTGGATCCTGATCTCTTCCCAATCCTCACTTGCGATCGAATAGGCGGGCATAGTCGGGAAGCGTGTTAGCTCTGCCCGATCGATGGTGGCGATGCTGCGGCTGTCTGCGCTGCTGGACAGGATGCTGATGTTGGCCAGAAACGCCGCCACCACCACCACCACCACTACCACCGCCGCCACACATGGGTGTATGTTAGAAGAGACGCTTCTCGTAGCTGAAGAGACCGTGGACATTGCCCTCCAGCTGGGCGGAATGAGTGCGCTTCATGAATCGCAACTGTCCATTATAGATCATGTCCCTACAATGAGATGGATATTAAATCATGTAAGGATTCGGGAAAGGATTTAAGACTCACCTCAACTTGGCCACAGAGTTGGCTCCAATGTCCTGACAACTGTGCTGGAGACCGCACTCCAGGTAGGGCAGGTATCGCAGGACACTGCCCTTGTCCACAATACTGCCACTGACGCCCTGGGCCACCTTCATCTTGTCCATCTCGTTGTGGTAGTAACGCGACATAGCAGCGCCCTTGGCATCGCCGCGCTCCATGGCCTCCAGGGAGCCCATGCCCCGGTACTTCTTCAGTCGGACGCCGTCGGAGAAGAAGTACTCGCCGGGAGCCTCGGAAGTGCCCGCCAGCAGGGAGCCCATCATCACAGCACTAGCGCCCAGAGCCAGGGCCTTAACGATGTGCCCGATGGACTGGATGCCGCCGTCGGCTATCACCGGGACTCCGAACTGCCGGGCGTAGGTAGAGACCTGGTAGACGGCCGTGGCCTGGGGGCAGCCGCAAGCCATTACCTCCTGGGTGATGCAGATAGAACCAGAACCCATGCCGACGCGCAGGCCGTCCACTCCCGCCTCGATCAGATTCTTGGCCTGAGCCCGGGTCACCACTGGAATGAATAATGTGTGTGTGTTGGAATCAGATCTCTCTCCTAATTGGTCAGATAGTGGGCTGTTTTTCTAGCCCCACTTCCAGATAACAATATGGCCCATCACATTATCGGATATTTCCAAAGATAGTGCCGTTTTAATTGCTCCCATTAGGTCGCCAAAAAAAATCCGATCAGAACTCACCATTTCCGCCGATAACCTGCAGTTCGGGATACGTCTCCTTGATGTACTTGATCATCTCCACCTGGTAGATGGAGTTGCCCTGCGACGAGTCCAGCACAATGACGTCCACACCGTTGGCCACCAGGAGCTGGAGTCGGGCCTTGTCCTCCACCCTCGTACCGATGGCAGCGCCCACCAGCAGCTGCTTGTTGGAGTCCTTGGAGGCGTTCGGATAGGAGCGGGCCTTCTTCAGATCCGTGCGGGCAATCATGGCGACCAGTTCACCGGCCTGGTTGATGATCGGCAGCTTGCCCTTCTTGCTCTTCTCCAGAATGGCGTTCGCCGTCGGCAGGTTAATGCCATTGGGGGCTGTGACCAGTTCCGTGGTCATGATATCCCTCAGCAGGACCTCCGGTTGGTTCTCTCGGAAATCGATATCACGCGACGTTACCATTCCAAGGAGCTTGCCACCAAGTTTTCCATTCTCGGTGACCGGATAGCCGGTGAAGCCGTTTTTGCGGCGCGCCTCCAGGACATCACCCACCGTATTCGTGGGCGACATCACCGAGGGATCGCGCATGAAGCCGTGCTTGTACTTCTTAACCTTGTGCACCTCCAACGCCTGGTACTCCGGCGTGCAGTTGTGATGGATGATGCCAATGCCACCACACAGCTGCACGAGGGTGATCGAAGTGGAACCAGTTAGTGGGTCCAGTCAGTGGATCAGAGTGGATCAGAGCGAGAGAAACACACGTTTTGGCGGTTAGAGAGGCGCGTAAAAGTGTTGAGTTACAACCACAGCTTTCATTCCAATTGGTAATTTTTTTATTTTTTTGTGTGTTGTTGGTATTGCCAATTGGTATCAAGTTCTAGCATCTAGATTATAAGATCTCTCTACTTACCGCCATGGCGATGGCCATCTCCGATTCGGTTACCGTGTCCATGGGCGAGCTAATCAGCGGCGCCCTCAGGGTTATGGCCTTCGTCAGAGGCGAGCTCAGATCGACCGACTCGGCGATGAAGTCTATGTAGCCGGGTAATATGAGAAAGTCGCTGTGGGCGGGGGTTTTCGGGGTGTTAGGAGGTTCTTATATATGTAAGTATTTTTCAGGTTTTTCTTCTTTTTTTTTCGTGTTAGTCTTTCGGTTAGGGGGGAGCATACAATTAGAAGGGCTTCCAAAATGAAGGGAAAGGGTTTCTTCAACAAAATGATTACTGAAAGCTATGAGATAGCTATGTATGTTCTCTATGGCATTTTTTACGAATATTATATGACTTCTGTTACACCTTTAAATCGGTTGTTGTTTTGATTTACTTTTGTTTGTTTTTTCTTGATTTTCAAATCAACAATAACAAGATCATGGGTCTGTTTATTCGTTTGTCTTCACACAGCTATTAAATAACGCCTAAAGAGCGCTATAGAGAGGACATGATATTTTTGCATTGAGGTCTTTGGCCAGACGCTTTCCATAAACAATGAAAGGAGTGGATAGACTTTTTAGAACTTTTAGGATTATATATGATTTAGGATCTTCAATGGAATTTTCTTAGAATTTTATTGAACGGACACGACACTTAGTACAGAACTTTTAAGATAAAATATAATGAAGAATCTACAGTATAGATATAGGCTATAGAGGAGCTTCTATATTAATTCTTGTTATTTATTTGTACTTGAATTTTTGTATTCCTTCAAGGATTTCCTTAAAAGGACAGACAGACAAGGAGATGTCTATAAGAGTTTAAAATGAAATTTGCAACCAAAAATATCCTAACGAAAAACAAAAAGTAGATCATAAAAACCTTTCTAAAAGTATAAAATATAATTGAATTCAACATCTTTCTAATTGTATTTCTCCTCCCTTGAAAGAGCAAACTGAAACCATGAGGTGAATGCATTTTTTCGCTTTTTTTCTGTAGCTTACTTGTAAGTCAGGCCCTCGCCATTCTGGAAGAGTTCCCGGCAGCTGAGACCGTCTTGCAGCTGGTCGTCTATTGCTGATCCCTTGGCGGCCTCCAGGAATCCGTTCAACTTTGACACCGCCGCCGTCTGCTGCTGCTGCTGTTGGCTTTCCATATTCCGTCCGTTCAACTTTGGCAACGACAACGGACCGAGTGAGTGAGCGAGATACGAGATGCGAGTGCTAAACAGCGGCCACCGGGTGCGGGTAAACAAACCAAAAGTTCAAGATCTTGGCTAGATAATCGCCGCTGGATATACTTCGATTTTGGCTTTCGTGTAATATTTATTGGGTTTTTTGGCAAATGCTTGTTGGATTCCTCGATTAGCTTTTCCCCGCAACGCAATTACACACAGACACACCAACACACCCACATCAGAGAAGAAAATTGTCAAGGAACACACATAAAAAAACAAAAATAAGAGCGAAGAAAAAATATAACAAGGTTAATTGCCGCTTTAAAAAATAACCGCGACGCGGCGGGAGCTGTGGGTGGCCGGGATGATTCCAGAACCAAGTCGGTTGGCATGCCAGCTTCTAGACCGAGCACATGGTTTCGTCACTTACCAGTCCAGCCGCAGGCAAGTCGAAGTCGTTGCAGTTCAGCAATGCGGCGGCAGCCGAAACGTGGTGCCTCTATATACCGCGGCGACTGGTTCCAGTTCCGGTTGACAGCTTTGAACTGGTTCGCAGCAGGGTTACCAAATGCTCCGGTCAATTATTTTTTGGGAACATTGTTTTTATATTAAAAAAATTTTTAGTGATACATTTAAGGCACCAAATATCCCTATTTATATTTATATATTATTGAGAAGCTGCACTTAAAAGATTAGCTTTTATTTAAAAAATATTTGGGAAGAAAATTAAACCTTTTTTTGTCTATATTTTTTATAATATCAAATCAAGTTAGAATTATTCATTATTCATAAAATGAGGTAATTTATATGTTATTCCTATGTTTCTTATGAAGAACTTTAGAAATCTACAACATTTATAGAAATATGTCAATGAAGAAGAGAAAAAATCAGTTAAGTATCGATGCTATTATCGATTAAAATACAGGTTTATTTCAACAATTTTTTCCCAATTCTTCTAACATAAGATCGAACATAAATAATTGGAAATAAATACATTGTAACATATTTAAGAGCCTTTTTCTTATTTTTACTTTTTGTAACCCTAAGAATATATATATAAAAAAAACAGACTTTCTCTACTCTACTAATAACCACTTTCTTTACTAATAATATGGATAAATAATAAGAGTGTATTCTATTAGTTTTCTTGAGAATAAAAAATTGGGATTTCTTTTAAAATAATATTTTAAGAAACTGAATTTAGCTAAATCTAACAAAATCTAGCTCTAAAATGGCCAAAAACTGTTGTTATCGAACTAGTTCCTTGCAAAAGGTACGCCTATCAGAGCAAACACCGGCGTGCTCCGGACACAGGGTGGCACGTGAACAACTACAGGGTGTCCGGCAATGCGCTAGGGCTGAAAGCATTGCATGCGAAGACGGCCACACGGGCGACCTGGTCAGATGCTATTTGGCGGTTGGCACCGCTTCACTTGCCAGTGTGTTTCGACTCGTTTGTCTCCAGGCCGAGTGTGTGTGTGTGTGTAGTGCAGCAAATTGTAACAGAAACAGAAACCCAAAAACCCCAAGCAGCAGTGGCGTAAGGAACAAACAGACACCGAGGGATACAAAATAAAATAAAACACCAATCAACGTAACAACAGAATCCAAACTGACGCACGGGGAGATTTGGTAGAGTAATATAATACAAAAAAAGTACGAGTGACAGCGGGCACCGATTGAGGCAGAAACACACAAAATTTTTTTGTCGAATAGCCAATAGCAAAATACACATTATTGTATCAAATATATAACCGAAGCCGATAGCGATTAGAGCATCCCGTCGTACCTGGCCATTGCAATTCAACGAAAAACAAAATTCTTACATAGAAGACGTTAAGTCACAATCTCCGCAAGTCCATAACTGGTCTACAAAACAGAGAAACAAAATTTCAAGAAATTGGTGCCGCATTTTGTTCCGCGTTGCTCCCCCAAAAATTAAAAAAAAAAACCAACATCCCCCGCAGATCCCGTGGCAACCGCATCATCACCGCAAGAACCAACATCTCAGGACCCAGAGACACAAAATTAAAAATTTAAAAAAATAGTTTCATAAAATATTAGAAACAAAAATTGAACCCGAAACCGAAAACTCCAATTTCGTAGCGGCAGAGGCAGTTGCGGCATCCATGTGTGTGCGTGTGCGTGTGTAAGGTGTGGTGTGTATAGAAAATCGATTGGAAATTGAAATCGAACCAAGCGCGCCGCAGTTGCCGTCTCCGCCGCGTGTGTGCCGTTACGCGATTTCTTAGCAGCAGCAACAGCAGCAGCAGCGCCGCCGCAGCAGTTCAAGTCACCTCGCCGCAAAATTTTTGTTAAATTTGTTTTTTTCTGTGAGCCCTGAAGTGTGTGAAAGGGATATATATATATATATACAAATATATACAGAAAGGAGAAGAGCTAGGGAGGAATACTGCTCCCATCTCCTTAAAAAAGAATAAAATTTCAAATAAAAACCCTGTAAAAATAACACAAAAACATCGGACATGGATAAATCAGCGGCCAATTCGGCCACTACTGCCGATGGCCAAAACGAGGCAGCAACAGCAGCAGCAGCATCCTCGGCCGGCAGCGCAGCTGGGTGTGGCAGCAACAGCAACGCCGGCACCACCAACAGCAGCAACAATACTGGCGGCGGTAGCAACGCCTTGCAGCGCTTGGCAACAACAACAGTGGCAGCAAGTGCCGCAGCCGCAGCAGCCACTATCAACCTGAACATCAGCACCAGCACCGGCGGCAACTTTGGCGTCAGCGTCGAGCCGCACATCAGCATCGAGAGCCTGAAGAAGATTATTGCCAAAAAGCTGAAGGTGGCCAAGGATCGTATACGTTTGTTGCATCGCGAAAAGTGAGTACCTCTTACCCCTATTTGTATCTTGAAATATTGAAATATCCGAATCTGAGGGTTGCAAGCCACTTCCTATTTGCTGACATGTGTTGGCAACAGGAGAACTCATGTCGAAACTTAATTAGATGCATGCTTCAGATTTGCAAGCAATTAGAAAAGGTAAATGGCACATCTGGCCACTCTAAAATGAAACAGAAACGTGTTCCGACACGTGCTTTCGGTGAGATGATGCTTTGGAGTGGAATTTCGGGTTGCAAACTGAGAAGTAGTTCAACTTTGTGTTGCAACCTTTGCTTCCTTGGACCTCAGTGGTTGGCAATACATTCTCAAGATTATATGCCCAGTGAGGTAATTTCTATATGGAGCGCACTACTGATTGGGACATAAATGGAATGCAGATTGTCAGGTTGAAAGTTCAGTGTAGTGTGTGTGTGTCTGTTTTTTAAAGCTTTGTTTAGCTTAAATGCCTTTGATTATCGTTTATGTTATCGTCTCTTTCTAACCTCTTTGTTTGGGCTTTTTGCTTAGTTGCGTTGCTTTTGTTGCTCTCCTCTCATTATTATGGTTATTATTGATATAACCTCCAAAAAAGCAACAAAAAATTGGCATATTTAAAGGGTTAGCCTCAAAGTAGATTGGTTAGAAGAGGGCGGGGAGTGCCAATTGATCACAAGCACACTCACACACACACACACTTGCCACAATGATTTCATAATCAATTTGTTATTTTTACAAAACAACGCAAAAAAAAAGTAAAACGCAACAACAAAACAGAAAAGTGTGCGCATAACACAAAACCGGCAAAAAAAAGGTAAAAAAAATTAAAAACAAACAAAAACAGTGCAAATGCAAAGCGAGAAGTGCATGCAAGTGGGAGGGAGAGAGGCAGTGGAACAGAGAGACGTTTTCCAACTAGTTGCATGAAACTGTTAGGTCTTCAACTGCAACTGTTAATGCTTCTGTTAACTGCATGCTGAGGTAACAAACAGGTATTTCTTATTAATCAAAAAATGAAACACAAACATTTTAGATTAGAAAATAAAATATCCTTTTCTTGTTCCTAGAAAGAGTGCTTGGCATGTGTGCGTGTGTGTTGGCAGCATTACAGTGGCTTCCCAACAATGCGGGCTTCTCTTTGTCCTCTGTCCCTTTCTGGTTGCACCTCCATATGTTTTTTCTTCCTTTCCTGTACTGTACTGTATTTCTGCAAATAGATTTCTAATTGAGAGGAGTGCCCTACCCGGCCCTGCCCAGCCCTTACCCCTTTCTTTGTCTCTGGCTTTCTTCGGGAGAAGAGAAAAACTTGACTGATAAGAAGAATTCTACTTGCCTTGGGGCTCCTTTGCTCTCTCTTTCTCTGCCTGGGCTGTGTTGCATCTGTTTTATGCCACTTTACAGAATGCAACAAAAGCAACAAAATGGGCAATGGCGTCACGGTGTGGTTGCGAGTGTGTGTGTGTGTGTGTTTTAATTTTTTTTTTCCTCATCTTACAGTGCTGGTTTTTTGTTTCCACTTGAAGTTATTTTATTTATTTTTTTTCATCATCCTCTGCCGGCTTCGAACATGTGTCTGTGTGTGTGTGTGTGTGTGGCAGAGATTTTTGTACACGCTTCTCTTTGTTCTGCAATCAAATTGCCTTGCTTCTTCTTCATCTTGCTCCTCTTCTTCTTGTTGTGCTTCTTCTTCTGCCCCTTCTTCTTCTCAACAATGTTGGCAGGCTGCTGCTCTTATCGGACACTCGGAAAATGGCCTACCTCTCTCGTCTTCTTCTTTGTCTGAATGTCATATGTTGTTGGCTTATAACCCCGTTGGCAAAAACGAAGCAGGCCGAAGAAGGAGAACAAGGCCTAAAAGCAAACTGCAAAAAGAAATAAGAAGAAGCCATAGATGCCCACCCCTCCAATTACTGATAACAAGAAAAACCTACCACCCGGGCCTCGGAGAAAAAAAAGCCTTTCGGTGAAAGCTTATTTCACACCACCACCATCCGACCAAAAAAAAAACATAAAACTTGTGCTGTGCACCACCGCCCGCAGAAAAAGACTTAACCGAGCAAACCCCGTGAAGGAAGATGGGAAAAGGAAATGAAGGAAATGGAAGCCACCACCAGGAAAAACGAAGAAGTCCACCTAGAAAATAAGGGCCCAAAGACAAAATGTTGTTGCTGCACACATCACTGAACGAGTCGCATTTTGTAGCACATTTATAAAGTCACCACCACCAGCACCACCACTACCACCATCATAGCAATCACCATGCCACCAAAATGTGTGACGGAAAGGCGTCGTTGGATGCACCACCAAAAGCAGGCATCTGGAATCACTACATCACCGAATACTATGCCCTGTCTATATGGCGAAAAGTGACCGACCTCACTGGACCGACCTTTCGAATGAAAAATATGGAAATATGGTAGACGGGAAGACCCACAACCAGGGAGGGAGGAGAGCCCTTGAGAAGAACTCGATACATAATCAACCCTTCTTCAAAAACACGTGGTTTGGATGGATAACACACACGTTTTTAAACAAAAACCTGATTAGAACCCAAAGTATTAAAGCTCGAAAGGAAGGAAGTTTCAAGAAACTAGAACTGTAGAATACTACAATAAAACACTATATAAAACATGAATCCCTTTAAGAACTACAGAATCAGAGTATTAAGGCTTGAAAAGGAAAATGCTGCAAGAAACTATAGGAAGTTAGAACTCCTAAAGGAGGTTCCTTCTTAACCTATTACTTCTATGGTCTATTTTAATTTATAGCTAAAAGACATATGCATGATGTCTATCTTGTATGATACATAAGATATCTTTCAGTTTCTAAAATGAGTTCCAAAAAACCATCTCCCTTCGAGTCCAGAGAACGTTTTTAAACAACTTTTTGAAACAAAAACGGGTAATAGCATTTTAAATGGAAACAAAATAATGCCGTAACTAAAAGCCATGAAAAATTTTATGTTTCTTTGTTTATTCGAACATCAACCCTTTAAACGCAACACACGTGGTGGTTCAACCAACAAACCAAGAACAGTTTCCACACACACCTAACAAGAAACCGGATTTGAGAGCCCAAGCACTGGATCAGTAGGTAGGAGATGCAGTAGTAGTAGTACCCACTCTAGTACTACGTAATGTGGCAAGAACGAGTACTGGGAACTGAAAAGATTCACGCAGATAGCAGGAAAAAGTTTTTCCATCAACAACGAAAAAACAAGCACGAATAGTAGTGCGAATAGAGGAGAAATAATGTCGTATCAGAAATATTGAAAGCAGATTAGATGTCCCAGTGCCCAGGTCGCTATCAGGCAGCCAGGGGCTATATGCTCGTACCCGAATTGGCGGCGCAGTGGCGCACTCGGTATGACATAAGCCCCCAGGTCCGGCACCGATCCGACCACCTCACCCACCTACCTCCCTTCCAGTCCTGTATTACTACTCTATCTTAGGGTTCTTCAGATAGACGGAGGCGGAGGAGGCGGCTACGTAATAACGCAACGCACACGCTAGCAATATAGTCGCAGTCGTAATAAACCTCCCATGATTTCGCTTTGGCCCTGGCGCTTATTGTATTATCAACAGTTTTAATTTTAGTATGCGTTTTTTCTTCACCTACACTTATGTATGATGGTGATTTTAGAGCAGGAGCAGGAAGTACATAGGTGGGGCGTTCGCCAAGCCGACAGACAACGGCAGATGGGCACACTGTCGGTCAGCACGAGGGGTCTATATTCGGTCTATGCTTTATGTTTCGCTACATGTCGGGGTCTCTCGGTCCCCATGTCGACGTCATCGAGAGCCACAGCGCGTGTTGCTTAGTGCTTTCTCTACTCTTCAAAGGGGGTATTGTGGATTTGTTGATGCGTTTGATGGCCACTGGTTCTACAAAGTATAGGATCATATCTAATTCGAAGCACCTGAACCTCTTATATAAGCTTTTTTTTATCAGTTTGTCTATATTCTTTTGGTTTCTTAGCATATCTGTATATAACAGATCCGTAACTCACTGGTTTTTGGCCATAGAAGCCTGGAACTTGTTTGTGGTTATCCCTTCAGAGATGGGTGTGATTGTATAAAGTTATGATAGTACTACACAGACCTCTTAGATCTTTTAATATATAATTTACATTAAAAAATTTACTGTAGCGTAGCTCGCCTGTTTGTTTTAGTCTTGTAGTTGGCATGGTTGTTGAAATCGAGGCCATTTGAGTTGAGTTTCTGGGGTCACGAGTGGTGGATTTGTGCGCTGCCTTTTGGGGCTTGCCGCGCTACTCTCCTTTTCAGAATTAATGGTCTGCTTGCCGAAAAGGCACTCGATTTCACGGCAAAACAAAATGATCTGCTCTTATCTCCTCGGTTCGATCAAACTTCGCCGGCTATGGAGGTTTGGCTGTCGTGGGTTAAGGGTGAAAAGCAGGCACTTTTCTTTCCGGCGCTGGTTTCGATTTTGCTCGCTTTGTTGCCTACGCTGCGCAGTTGTTAGTTGTTGTTGTCTGTTTGTATTCCGTACACACATATCTATATACTTTTTATATTTTATTTGACGTTGTTGTTGATTAGCCGGGAGAGCAAGTGAGAGGAGTAGAGATCTTGTTTGAAATACGGACGAACAACGTGCTTTGTTCTGTTTTTTTTTTTTTAGTTTTTAGATACCTTTTGTTGTTTTTGGGTCTCTATTAGTCCGACTGTCTGTTTGTCTGACTGCCCCGGTCCCCGCTTGGTCATTGTTTGAAGATCAGGTTACACAAGACTCTCTTTCAGAGCACGCCCTCTCTCATGCTCTCTTCTCTCGCTCTCAGCCCTTTGGAGCTGCGACGTCGACTTCTTGCACAACCTGCGCGGGGCTTCTGGTTTGCTTCAAAGAAGGTTTATTTTTTGGAAGTTATTTCTTTCATTCTAAAACTAAATCGGATTCTCCTTGCATTATATATACTTCCGTTTCATGTGCATCTCGCCTTTTTCAGTATCTTTGTATGTGTTTTGGAAACTCGTTTAGTGACT